TTTGGGGGAACATAAATATTAAGTTTATAATACACCTTCAGTAGAATTTACTTTAGGGCCAATCTCACTTACCCCACAGATTTTTATTTTTGTAGTAAGTAATTTAGGAAAAGGCATGGCAGACTCATCGGTTGTGGCTGTAGGTTCCTGTGACTGATGAAATTCGGGGATAGTGACCTCTGGAGGTAACACCATGAACACAGGGTTGTGCGCAGTGTTTGAATCCATGATGGTGTCGTTGATATTTTGAAGTGTTAAGTGATTTAGTTGGTATTTCAGTCTAGACCATGCTTTTCTCCTGTCCCAAGGTTGTCTGGAGCGCTGGCATTGTTGTACTTTGTCTTGGAATTATAGAACCACAGAATCACAGAGTCATGGAATCTCAGGATTGGTCACGATCTTAAGGTGAGTGAGTCAAGGAGTGGGGAGAAGAAGGCCCGCCTGGTAGTCCTTGCGCAGTCATGCTGTCACTGTGACCATGGGAAGTCACATCCCCCTCTCTTGATTTCAGCTCCCTTATATGTACATTGATCAGGTGGGATTAGTTGATCTACAGAGGTATTTCAAGTCCCAAGTAGAAGAGCACTATGAACATTTATTTTAGTTCTCTATCTTAAGGAAGGTAAAGGACAAACCACTCAGAGATGGTCTCTGTTTAGCCTGCCACTTTGGCAGGGTTTTTTGTTTCTTTGTTCACTTTGCCATTTAAATTTATTAGCTTTAGCCATGAAAAAATGACCCCAAATCTTAGTGGCTTCAAACAACCACTATTTGATTTTGCTCGCAATTCTGTGGATCATATGGGTGTTTCTACTGTTCTTGTCCAGCTCGGCTCTTTGCTTCCAAGTTTTCTCATGCACCTGTGGTCAACTGGTGAAGTGAACAGAGCTCGATGGTTGAGTATGGTCTCCCATCACAGACACCAAAATCCTCTGATGCTTCAGTCCTTCATATAAAATGGCATAAAGCAACACACACATTCCTCCTCCACATCCACAGACTCCCAATCTGAGTGGAAAAGACTGTTTCTGATCTGCGATTAGTTGAATCCACAGGTGTGAAACCTGAGGATACAGAGGGCTGACTAGATAGTGAACAAAATCTATGGATAAGTGAATGTATGCAGTTTAAACGAGTGTTGTTAAAAAATAAATTGTACTTTGGTTTCATGAGTGACAAAGCAAGTAAATATATTAACTGAAAAAGTAAATACATCAAAATACATTGAGTCATTTTTTTCTGCTACCTTTATCACTCATCACGGGTGTAATAGGAAGAATTGTGGGCTCCCAAGAAAATTCCATTATTTTATTCCCAGGACTTTGGAAATGATATCACACTCATGAATATGTTACCTTAAAATGCAGAAGGAGCCTTGCAAATATAATAAATTTACTTCATAATAGGGAGATTATCTTGGATTATTTGAGTGGGTCTTGTGTAATCACAGGACCCCTTAAAATTAGGAGTTTGAGAAGGGCTTGACAAACCATTGCTGGGTTGAAGATAGAGGGGGCCACATGAGAAGAAATGCAGGTGACTTCTAGGAGCAGAGAGAGTCACCTCCCTACCCCCCCACACAGCTGATGGCTGGCTGACAGTGAAACCTATAGCGCAAGGAACTGGATTCTTCCAACAATGAGTGAGCTTAAAAGAGGGTTCCAAGCCTCAGAACCATACACCTGGCAAGCACTATGACTGTAGTTAAGTGAAACAGCAAATAATCTAACCAAGTCATCCAGTACTTCTGACCTACAGAAACTGAGATAATAAATTTGTGTTTTGTTAAGCAGCTCCATTTGTGGTAATTTGTTACATATTGATACATAATACAAAGGGCTAAGGGTAAGGTTCTACCATTTTGAGCCTTAGTGACTATTATTCAGTGTAGGGTAACTTCTGTGACAGTTCCATGCTTTGCTTGGCCAATTGGATTGGGATCTATGTAGTTATTTATGGACCAGGTTTAATTCTCTACAGATCTGAGCATCATGGGTCCTGGATACACTGCATCTGGCCAGTGCATGAGGAAAGAGAGTATAAGAACAAGGCAAGGGGTTGAGGGCTCAAACCTGGAAGTGATGAGCATCACGTCACCAACACTTCACTGATGATAGTCACCTTCTCACCTATTTAGATGCAAGGGGGCTGGAAAGGGGGCTAGATAGCTGTGGGATATGTAATCCAGCAAATGACAGTGAATAACCGGCTCATTTCTGCCACAAGGCCTTAGGAATTATAGGTATAAAAAGGAGTAGCATAAGAAAATAACTCTTCCCAATTTTTACCAAAGGAAGAGCCTAATAGAGTCTGGAAAAGACATGTTGTATTTGGAATAAGATTGTTTTTACAAATTATATTGCCTTTAAGTAAATCATAAATGCTCTGGTCCCCCAGAGCATTTTGCCCCAGGCCTTATAAACTGCTACATCACGTATTTATACTCCTTTGTTGGCTCCTAAACACATCTGATTTTGTCAACTCCAGACCCAAACTCATTGATGCGACAGTATTAGGTATCTCCGAAAGAGGGAGAATGCCTGGAAAACAGGGGTAGAAATGGGGGATTCTTGCATGTTGGAAAGGTGCCTAAGGGTCTGAGGGACACAAGGGGCTTCTGATTTGCTCTCTAGTGTCATTCCCACTAGGATGGTAAACCTCAGAAATGATGGGTTTTAAAAACATTTTTACATTTTCACATTGTGAGCTTATACCCTAGGACACAGGTGGCAAACACAAGGCCCACGGGCCGAATCTGGCCCTCCACCTTGTTTTATCCGGCCTGGCACCTTGTTTCTACCTGATGGCAACACCAAGCTCTCACTTAACTGTTAAGGAGTAATGACATTTATACAGTCCTAAAATTAGATTCTGCCCTTTGAAGGCAACTGCATGGCTGACGTGGCCCCCAGTGAAAAAGAGTTTAATACCCCTGCCCTAGGAGGCACTGTATTCTTACAATTACAGGGGGGAGAAAAACCCGAGTTCCAAGTGTGGTGTAGAAGCATCAAGTTCATAGGACACATAGGGTCAGTGTGAACTGAGACAATGAGTTTCTCAGTGGTTAGTGGTGTGGACTTGTCAGTGATGACAGGAATCATCTCTCTGATGACTTGCCACTATTTAAGACCCCAGAACCCTTGTGCAAGTGTGCATCAATGAGTATGAGTGTGTTGGATGAGTATGGGGCTGAATGGGCAGGAAAGACTACGTGGGCTGGATTCTCAAAGAATTTGATTAGGAATTGCAAATGTGTTTCGGGAACACCTGAGTTTGTGGACTGAAAGTTAAAGCCTTTGTATAAGCACCCTACAAACATGTGCAAATCCAGTGAAAGTAAAAGGGGAAATGATTAGTAGTATTCAGAGTAAGTAGAATACGAAGTGATAATCATTTAGGAACTGGAGACAAACTCACATAGGGCCTGTACCAAGGTCAAACAACCTTGGGTAGCTCATGAGGCTAATCCTTACTACAGAGGCAAAAACAGGGAACATATGATCAGTCTCTCTAGACCTATGCCTCATTATTCTACCACACATAACTTCATTCATCTCTAGGTGTTCAGGCTCTCATTCATGCTTTTAAAAATGATTGAATGCCTGCTAGAAGCAAGTCTTTGTACAAAATTCTCTTGAAGACAGATATGACACAGTTTGGGCTTATTCACAAGAATGTAAGAGAACTGCAAGACAAATACCACATGATCTCACCTATAAGTGGAACCTAATCAACAAAACAAACAAGCAAGCAAAATAGAACCAGAGGCATTGAAATTAAGAACAAACTGAATGTAACCAGAGGGGGTAGGAGGAGATAGTGGGGGCAAAAGGGGGAAGGGTTTTCAGGAACAACTATAAAGGACACATGGACAAAACCAAGAAGGGGTGGGATCAGGGGAGGGAGGTGGGGATGGCTGGAATGGGGGGAATGGTGGGGGGGAAATGGAGACAACTGTACTTGAACAACAACAATAAAAAAAGAAAACTGAAAAAAAAAACAAAGAGTGTACATGATTTCAAAAAGGAAAGAAGTTAGTGAGAGGTCCTCTGGAAATACTTATTTGAGACTTTTTGAAATGGGATGAAAGCACAGAAGGCAACAAGGGTGATGAAGACTGCAGAAAAAAGAGATGGTTAACAACTCCAACTGTATCAAAGGGATCAAGGACCGAGAGGATTAGAAAAAAATGTAATTAGGCTTGGAGGATGGAGGATAACTGATGGCTTTTGTTCATACAATTTCCTCTGACCACTGAGGATGAAATTATATGTCATAAGTGTTGAGAAATTCAGAACAGTGAATGCAGATATGTGGAAGGGAGCCAGAGCATTCATTGCTCAATAGATGAGTCTTTCATACTTTCTTTGATGACATATGCATTCTCTAACTTCCTCTGTGTCCTACTTCTTTTTCTCTCCCCATGCCACATTCTGTCCTTATTGCCACATAACCCCAGTAATAACTGAACAAACATACAGTATATACTCTCAGCACAGATTTGGGGGTGGGGAGTTAAATTGGGTGATTGGAAACAGCAAAACGGAGGATGGAGGAATTTATTTTTATCCTTTCCTGACTTTTTTGGTTCTTGAGACTTCAAAGAGCTAACATAGGCTTCTTCCTTGTTGACGTACTAAGCTCTTATAATACACGTAGAGTGAGGCAAGAAATATCAGCACCATAGAAAAGCACATCTGGTAAGCATTAGGTAGTAAAATTATTGCTGATCATAAACTGAGACACTAACATGATGACAAAGTGTTTAAATGTGAATTATTCCTTTACCCTCACAAAGTTCTGAAACAGTATTAATATTTGTTATCATTTTATTTTACTTAAGGACAAATCCTTTGAGTTTTCTGGTTGCCCTTCATTTTCTGGTGAGAGAATAAGGTGGCAACAGCACCTGAGAATATAGGTTGGAAGTGACTATATTGTTTTTCCCTAATTTGGTTCCATAATTGGGAGTAGTGTGGTGTTTGGGTAGATCCTACAAGTTAGTCAGAGTCTTCAGATTGCTGTTGATCCCTTGTATAACATGAGGTTAAAGTTGAGCTAACTGAAGTATTTTGTTGCACATCTTGCATATCTTGTTCTGAACCAACATTGGATGAATAGGTGGAAGATGCATCTTGTACTGAGCTTTGACAGGAGGCATGATGAAAATCCAGCTTTGCGTCTTCTGATTGTAGGTCACTTGACTTTTGGCATAGACTTTTCATGTCCACTAGTTTGAGGTCTTTTGTTTGCATAGGGACTATTTGCATATCTTCTTTTGGGATACCAGTGGATTGAGGATCTTGTTGGTTCTTATCTTGATACTGACTATCTGGAAGTACAATGTCTTGTGATTGCTGATCAAGCTGATGTTGAGGTATAGCTTGCAGAGTGTGGGTTTCTTTGTATAGAACTTTCTGCTTTAGCAATTCTTTCTCTAATAGATCTTGGGTTTGCCAGGCTTGGGACTCCCAATTTAGGGAATGCTTCATTTCAAATTGGCATTCTTGTTCTTTACACTCTTTGTTTCTCCATTCTTGCATATTCCACTCTTGGGATTGTTGGCCTAAAGGCTGCCACTCTTGGTACTTCTGGATTTGGGATTGTTGATTTTGGTCTAGCTGCTCTGGGGATTTCTCCTCTTGGGCCTGCAGGTCTTTAGCTTCTTTATGTTGGCTTTGTTTCCCAGGAGATGTCTCCTCTTTGTCCTGCTCATCTTTACCTTGCCCACTGTGGGATTGTTGTTTTAGGGATTGCTTTCCATGGGGCAGCTGGTCTTCAGCTTCCTGATCTGAGAATTGTTTATCTTGGACTTGTTTATCTATAGAGTGCCTCTTTGGGAATAGCCAGCCTTTGATATGTTGGTCTATGGATTTCTTCCTTGGGGATTGTGGGGCTTGGATTGGCAAATCTAAGAATTCCTTTGTTGAAGATTGCCAGCCTTTACTATGCTGTTCGAAAGAATGCTGCTTCATGGATTTCCTGCTTTGGTGTTTCTCATATTTCCATTCTTGGGTCAGCATATTTACTTCTGATTGAATGTTCTGATATGACATATGTGCAAATTGCTGGTCTAGATGTTGGATGCTTTGTAGATGAAGACCCAAGAATTGCTGTTCTAGCTGTTGTACACTAAGGGCCTGCACAGCATGAAATGTTTGGGTTTCAAGTTGCATGGCTTTTATTGGCAGACCCTCTACTTGGGAAAGCATATCTTGGGAAAGCATGTCTTGTGTTGAAATGTCTTTGGATTTCAGGTCATGAGACTGCGTGACATGAGGTGTGGGTTCTTCATACAGCAGGGTTTGTGCTGACAAGTGATCAGGTGGTAATGCTTTAAGATTTTCTACAGAATGGGATGGAAAAACTTGGGGTGGCAAGGCTTCAGCCTGCAGCAGTTGGGATTGCTTTTCTGAGGGGTGTTCAACAGCAAATTGTAGATCTTCATCATTTATTTGTTCAGTGTGTGTGGTATCTTCTGAGGGCCTTTCCTCTGATTGGGGAGGCAAAGGTTTCTGCTCAGTTTCTTCCTCAGAATAGCTAAAATGGGAAGGGATATTTTTTTGTTGTTCATCTGACCCAGATGAAGAAGATGGGTAGTAATTGTTACTGCCTCTTTTCTCTGAATGATGGAAGGTTAAAGGATTTCTTGAGACTCTTAACTTGAAGAAAGTATAGCCTCCAAAGAAAACAGGTTGTATGTTTGTTGGTGAGTTCTCTCTGTTTGACTCTTCTTGAAGGTCCATTTGTATTACAGCATTTTCTTCAGGGATAGATAATTCACTCTCATGAGTAACATCCAAAGGCAAGAGAAACACAATCTACAAAACCAAAGGGTAGGAGAAAAATTAGTATAAGTCATTTTTGATGTTCTTTTCTTCTTGTATTCCCAAATTCTTTTCATCTCTGCCTTAAGACAGTAGATAGAAAATAACAACTACATGAGGAATAAGGAAACAAGTATCAGTACTGCCCTTACTATCAACTCACCAGTTTTATTTTGGACAAGTCATCACCCTCTATTATCTCAAATATTGAATAGGGGAATTTGATTAAAATAGTCTGAAAGTCTTCTATACTTAACATTATAAAACTTCTAAGGCATTTTAACTTATCCAGTCAGTGTTCATATATTCAGCTTTATTTATTTATTGATCACCTACTAAGTGAGCTAAATGATGGAGATTAAAGATAATTAGATGTGGGTTTTGCCCATATGGTGCTCATTACAAAGCTAGATAACAATACAGTTTAGCAAAAGTTATTGTATAAATAGCTATTAAGTGGTTTATAAGAATGTAGAAGATAATTTAATTCTGAGAAAGCCAAAAAATACTTCATAGAAGAGGTTGTATTTGATGTATATCTTGCTGAGTAGGAATTCCTCAAGCAAAAAGGTAATATGAAGTAAGACAGGAGTCAAAATCCAGAAAGAGGAAACAGTGGATGCAAAAACATAAGGTTGTGATGCAACATAGTGTGATGGACAATGGTAAACAGGTAGATACTGTTAGATGGTATGCTAGGTGCTATAAACTAAATGTTTCTATGTGTAACAATGGCTACTTGGAAAATAAAATTTTTAAATACAATGTAAATGGCCAGAAAAATAATGAAATATATAAGATAAATTTAATAAACCATGCACTGGAGTTATCCACTAAAACCTACAAGATACTGCTGAGAGAAATGAAATGAGATGTTAGAAACTGTAGACATAGTCTATGGACATGAATAAGGAAGACTACCATATTTTGCTGTGTACAATGTGTTCCCATGTATACTGCACACCCACATTTTGGCCCAGACTTTCAAGAAAAAACTCTTTCACTTAAATTTTTTAAATTCAGTTATTTATTTATTTGTATTTAGAAACAAAACCAATTATCATGTTCTGGGGTATCATTTTGCATATGGATATTGTTATTGCTTTCTAGAGTTAGACTTTTAACACATAAGCATAAACTTAAAATTTATATAGATATGGAATTATATATAGATATAGATATTATTTATTATAGATAATAATATCTATTATTTATATAGATATAGCACTGCCCATGTATACTGTGCATCCTCATTTTTCCCTCAAAAATTTGGGCAAAAAAGCCCTGGCTGGTGTAGCTCAGTGGATTGAGCGCGGGCTGTGAACCAAAGCATCACAGGTTTGATTCCCAGTCAGGGTACATGCCTGGGTTGCAGGCCATGGCCCCCAGCAACCGCACATTGATGTTTCTCTCTCTCTCTCTTTCCCCCTCCCTTCCCTCTCTAAAAATAAATAAATAAAATCTTTTTTAAAAATTGGGGCAAAAAATGTGCATTATACACAACAAAATTCAGTAAATATTACTGATAAGTAAAATTTTCCTAAATTATTTATAAGTTCAATGCAACTCTAATCATAATCCTAGCAATAATTTGCATTTTATGGTACAGAGTTTGTATTGGGATGATGAAAAAGTTTTGGGCATAAATAATAATGGTAATTAAATTCATTATGAGTCTACTTAATGCCACTGAATTGCATTCATAAAATGGTTAAAATAATAAATAGTATGTATATTTTACCACAACAAGAAGGAATTACTTTAAACCTGCAGAAATTAAGACAGTGTGAAATATGTGAAAAGACAGATACATAGATCAATGGGACAAAATCAAGTGTCCAAAGGAGACCTATAGATAAGAGGTCAATTTATTTTCACAAAGTTGCCAGGGTATTAGGGGAAAATATTGCATTTTCAACAGATAATATTGAAACTCTACATGGCGGTATGTGTGTGTGCCGATGAATATGTAACCTTACCTCACAACTATACATAAAATTTAACTCAAAATATGTTATAGTCTTAAACATAAAAGCTAAAACTGTAATACTTTTATAAGGAAATAGAGAAGAAAATCTTTACAGTCTTGGTGTAAGCAAACTTTTATTAGAACACAGAAAAGACTAACTATAAAAGAAAAGAAATCATAAATTATACATTATGCAATTTCTTATTTGAAAGAAACTATCAAGGAAATGAAAAGGCAAGCCAAAGCTGGGGAAAATATTAGCAATACATAAATCTCATAAAAAGACTTACATTAAGAATAAGTTATAACTCATTCTTATAACTCAATAAGATAATGGAATAAAGCTTACTAAAGATTTGAACACATCTCAAAAAAAGATATACAGATTGACAGTAAACATAGAAAGGGTCTCATCATCATTTGTTATCTGGGAAATGCAAATTAAAGCTGTGATGAACACTAAATACTCACTAGAATGGCTAAGTTATTAACACAACTGACAATTCCAAGTGTTGGTGGTTATATGGACCACTTGTTCCTTTCACATATTGCTGATAAGAATGCAAAATGGGAGTTGTGGCCAAAATGGAGGTGTAGGTAGAAACCCTTCACTTCCTCACACAACCAGAAGGAGGATAACAACCAATCTAAAATCACTAAACAACCAAAATTGCCAGAAAATCAAACTGCATGGAACTCCGACAACTGAGGAATTAAAGAAAAAAATCAACCAGAACGACCAGACTGGTAAGGCAGACTAAGCAGGTCCACTCAGAAAAACCACAGGGAGGCGGCTGGGGGGCAGGGCTGACTGCCCTCAGCAGAGGGACTGACCTAAGGGGAAAATTGAGACTCAGAGCTGACTGTGGGCTAAGGTTGGGGTTACTGTGGTGAGAGATACTTCCAGTCTGACACAAGAGTCTGTTGGAAAGTGCGCTAGAGACGTGCAAGCAAGCTGCATTGTTCCCTCTCTGGCCCCTCCCACAAAGGCAGCGCAGCAAAGAGGGTTGCCCTGCCAGGGTGAAGACCTAAGGCCCTGCCCCCTTACAACCTATCAGTTGCGCTAAGACAAAGAAATGTGGCCCAAATGAAAGAACACAGCAAAGCCTCAGAAAGAGAACTAAGAGAAAAGGGATTGCCAACCTATCTGATGGAGAATTGAAAGCCTTGGTAATCAAAATGCTCGCCAAACTGATTGAGCTTGGTCAAAAAATGAAAGAACAAATGAAAAGATACCCAAAATGAAATAAAGCAAAATATTCAGGGAACCGACAGTGACAAGAATGAAACCAGGATTCAAAGCAATGATTTGGATCATAAGGAAGAAATAAATATCCAACTGGATCAGAACAAAGAAACAAGAATCCAAAAAAATGAAGAGAGGCTGAGGATTCTCTGGGACAACTTGAAATGTTCCAATATCCAAATTATAGGGGTGCCAGAAGGAGAAGAACAGCAGCAAGAAATTGAAAACTTATTTGAACAAGTAATGAAGGAAAATTTCCCCAATCTGGTGAAGGAAATAGACTTCCGGGAAGTCCAGGAAGCTCAGAGTCCCAAAGAAATTGTACCCAAAGAGGAACACACTAAGGCACATCATCATTAAGTTAATCAAGATTAAAGACAAAGAGAAAACCCTAAAAGCAGCAAGAGGTAAGGAGACAGTTACCTACAAAAGAGTTCCCAGAAGACTATCAGCTGATTTCTCAAAAGAAACCTTGCAAGCAAGAAGGGGCTGCAAAGAAGTATTTTAAGTCATGAAAGGCAAGGACCTACATCCAAGATTACTCTATCCAGCAAAGCTTTCATTTAGAATGGAAGGGCAGATAAAGTGCTTCCCAGATAAAGTCAAGTTAAAAGAGTTCATCATCACCAAACCAGTATTATATGAAATGTTAATGGGACTTATCTAAGAAAAAAAAAGATAAAAAATATGAACACTAAAATGACAATGAACTCACAACTATCAACAAATAAACCTAAAAGAAAAGAAAAACAATGAAAATAAAAACTAAGCAAACAACCAGAACAGGAACAGAACCAGAAAAATGGACATCACACAGAGGGAGTTCATTGGAGAGGGGGAAGGGAGGAATAGGGGGGAAATGTACAGAGAAGAAAAAACATAATTAGGAGACATAAAATAAATGGGGAGAGATAAAAATGGTATAGGAAACAGAGAAATCAAAGAACTTATATGTACAACCCATGGACATGAACTAAGGGTGGGGGGAATGCTGGAGGGTTGGGGAGGGCAGGGTGGAGTGGGGATAAAGGGGAAAAATTGGGAAAACTGTAGTAGCATAATCAATAAAAATACTTTAGAAAAAAAGAATGCAAAATGGTACAGTCACTTTGGAAACTGTTTAACATTTTCTTATAAAGTTAAACATCCACTTGCCATATGACCTAGCAATCAAATCTTAGACACAACACTCCAAGAGACGTGAAAACATCTGCCCACACAAAGACAGGAGTGCAAATGCCCATTAAAAAGTAAATGGATAAACAAATTGTGTTGTATCCTTCCATAAAAGGAACAAACTATTGATACATGCAACAGTACGGATGAATCTCATAACATGTTGCTGAGCGAAAGAAGCCAAATACAAAGAGTACTTACATAAAATCCCATGTATATGAAGTTTGAGAAAGTAACAACCATGAAAGAGGTAATGAAGATAATTTGACCATAAGAGAGATTCCAGGGAACCATCTGGGGTGTCAGGAATTCACAACATTTTTATTTGATGGTAGTTTAACTACCATCACAACTCTTTGAATAATACACTTAAAATTGGTGCATTTTAATGATTTTAAATTATAATTCCATAAAGTTGATGTAAAAAAGGTGGGAAACCACTAACACAGGGCCTAGAACTGTCATTGTGATATAGAGAGCACAATGAAACCACATTACTTGAGTCAGATTCCTGGTGTTGTAAGACATTGGAGAGGTTACTCTTTGTGCTTTAGTTCTTTTATAGGTAAAATAAAAGTGTTTTAATAGCTTTGTTAGATTGAGTAAGTTGGTGCTAAGCAATCGTAATAATGACTGACTGACATATCATTAAGTAAATGTAATCTCTAATGATTATTGTAAGTCATATTAGTATCACTGCTAAACATTCTTCTCTGTTTTCTCTCTGGTGAGGGAATTGCCTCACACACCCGTGGGACCAAAGTATAAGCTCCTCATGCAACAGTAATATGAGTTCCCATTAAGTCCAGCCTTTTACACATTTTGGCAGGGAGATAAGGAGCTATCTGAATGGAGATAGTAGGAAGAGCAAGAAAAAGTAGTATAGTTGTCTCAAAGGTTAGAGTAGGCCTTCGATTTTAAGCTTGTACCTCCATCACCATCCTAAACTTAAAAGTTTTAATTCAGCATCTGAGAATATTGCTCTGCACACTGATAGGACAGACATCACCTTGGAGTGTCCCAATGGGAATCTGTTCTTACAACAATTGAACACACCTCATTTGACCTTGTCCAGCACTTGCTTCTAAAGGAGACTATAGTCACGGAGATGCTGAGCTCTACCAAGCTGATGATTAGTAAGACTGACAAAATGCCCTGCAAAAAAGAAAAATTGAATATTAAAAAATGGCAATTGGGATGAAACTGTTTCATTTTACAGATCTAAGCAAAGGACCACTTACACTGTATGGCCAAATAGAGCAAAACCCATATTGTAGATGCTTCTGTAGCCATCAGTGATTGAACAATTTTCATCTCATGTCTTCCCAATAAGCAGAGGGAACAAATTCTAATGCCTGTAGAGGCCAGGCAACCATCTTACATGACTTAAACAGGTAGGAGGAGAAATGGTGGAGAGTAAAGGTATTTCTAGGATTCATCCATTACCCCATTTCAGGCAATAGTTACCATGTGGGAATAAGGACCCCATGATGCCTGGTCTTTTTTTTTCCACCTAAGAAAGCCTGACATACATATTTTTAATGTGAAATTTTCTAGTTATTTATTTACTTATGTAAATTAACTAGAACATATCTTCAGGCTAATATAGCCCACAGATTTCCATTTTGCACACTCTGCTTTAAGGTAATGCTTAGATCAAGAAGCAGCATGGAATAGCATTGTGTCCAAAAAGCATAGACTATGGAGACAGAAAGAGCTAGTACAATTGGGTCCAAGGTTACACGTAACCTTGGGCAAGTGACTGAGTCTAACTGAATCTTGATTTTTCTGTTATACCCTGTTTGTTGGTAAACTATTAGGTATGAAGTACCTACTGTAAATTTACTGGTTTCAGCTGTTATACAAGAGATACCTGGTTTTGGTCTTTGTGGAACTTCTATCATAGATAGTAAAGAAGGCAGACAGTATTAAATAGGCGATTATTTACTCAACTAAATTGTGTTAGGTGCTGTGAAAAAGTGCTGGGAGCTATGCATGGCTCTCATGAGAGATCTGACCAGGTCTGCACTAGGGAACATAGAGCTGCAATCAGGAAGGGTGTCCTTAAAAAAGTGATGTTTCTATTGAAAGTAAGGAAAGAGGAGGGGTTTGGTGAGTAGGTGAAAAAGGGTAGGAATGGGTCTGGGGAACATTTGAAGCAAAGAAAAACTGGCCTTATAGCCCTGGGACAGTGAGTATGGACACCTTACGGAATTTCAGAAAGTGGCAGGGGAATGGAGTGAGGAAGACAAAGGCTTGGAATAATGTCAGAAAGGTAGGCAGGATAGTTTCTATAGGGTCTTATAAGCCTTTTCAGATTGGGGTCTTAATTCTGTGTTTAACAGGAAGCCATCGGCTAATGTCCTCAGATTTACCTGCTGAAGTATAGACTGAAGTGTAGACAATGGATGGTCTTTGGAACAAAAGTCAGTCCAAGAAATGCCTAAAGCCCATTGCTCTGGCATTTTTTGTTTACGATGTATGTGTTACAGCAAGGAATTGTGAAGTGATAGAAATGAAGTCTTGAAATGAATTAGATATACCGTATTTTGGGACTATAAGATGCTCCCCCTCCCCCAGCCCAAATTTGGGAGGAATAATGGTTGTTAATGCTGCTGTTGAGTTCTGTTTACATTTACATTGGTGAAATATTATGTTATTTATGCTATTAAATATTTTACCACATTTTTTGCTTCAAAATTTTTTTTCCTATTTTCTTCCTCTAAAACCTAGGTGCGTCTTATGGTCTGAAAAATATGGTCTTTAATTCTGTATGCAGAAACTAATTTTGCAATACCCGACCATGTGGGGCAGGAAGTAGACAGCAAAGGTTCATTTATATGGAACTTTAACCCTTTCAGTATACAATTTCTTCCTGGTATATACTAAAGTAATGTACAATTAGTGCCCACTGCCCACTAGGTGGGCCAGGTGGCCCTCTGCACACTAGGAAAAAGGTAAGGATTATAATGTCATATAATATTCTTGGCCTAATTAGGACAAGATTTTATCTCTTATATTCATTGATCTCTGGCTTTCTTTAGTAACCTTTTACGAGTCTAAGTCTGGAATTTACCTCAGAATATATGGAAGCATCCTTAGACTCACTTTAATGAGTGATTGTGAGGATCAAATAAGATCTATTGAGTAACCAATAGCTCTTTTTCCTTTCCCTCTTCATTGGGGAAGACAATTTCCCATGATTCCCCTTCACTTCTATTCAAATGGGTCAAATCTCATTAACAATCTAGAACAAAAGCTGTGAAGATGTGGCTGGTAGACAGAGAATGAAACCCCAGCATTCACTTGGGTAAGTAGAGGGAATGGCTTTTTTGATTAATTGACATGTGTAAAAGTAATCTCATTGAATACTTTGTAGATAAATACATAAAATTACACCTACAATTATATTTCCTGGTAAAGATACATCTCATCTGCTTTAACAAATAAAATGGGCACATTTGTATTCAATGATTTATCTTCTAAAATTATTAATATATTTTACTAAGTGACTTAAATGCCTTCTCCCACTGTATTTTGCTTTTAGTTTTGGGTAAACTTTTTAGGTCATTCTGTTCCTCATTAACGCTGAAAAGGTAAAATTTAATTCAATCCATTTCAACCCTAAAGGTAATAGTTAAAATCTGTTGACTACTTACACTGTATCAGGTAGTATTCTAATTTAAGTAATCCTTTCAACAACCCAATAAGGTAGATATTCTTATTATCTTCATTTTCCATGTGAGGAAAACTGGGGCTCAGAAAAGACAAAATGTTAGGCCAGGCCACAAGCCTATATGTGACAAAACCAAGCTTTCAAATCCAGACTTGAACCACAACCTGCTTCTCAACAGTCAGTTCCAATGGGGACACAACATCAGTTATTGAATCGATGCATTGTGAATATCTCAGGTAAGATTACAAAGATTTCGTTGTACAGAACAAGACCACTTACAGTGAAAAGGATTCTACCTATAACACATATTCCTTCCATGGAAGGCGCGTTGCAGTACTCATGCCGATGTTTAAAGCTGATAATGATGAGAGCAATCCCAGCCACCGCAGCCAAGGAACTGATCACATTCAAGGCCATGACACCTTGCCCCTGGGAAAGTTGTTAAAAATAATAAAGGCAAACAGTTTTAGAACGAGCCAGGAAGCCAAGAAAGAGAATGGGTAGAAAAGGGTGCTCTATGGTTAATGCTCAAGAAAATGTTCTCCATCTCTGAGTCTCTCCCCATTTCCCTTGTTAGTTCAGTTTGTTCATTAGATTCCACATATGACTGAAATCATATGGTATTTGTCTTTCTCTCACTGGCTTATTTCACTTAGGATAAGGGGACTAAAATGGTAGTGAAAAAATACAACAAAGATTATTTTTTTAAAAAAAAGAAAATGTTTACTTTATCCTGATGCACCACCTTTCACAACTGATAAGCAAAATAGTGTGTTAGAAATTATCCTGGCTTTGTAATCAAACCTGATTTTGAGTCTAGTGAACTATTAATAGAATGTCATACAAGATAGCTAATCTCTTGGAGTCTTGATTTCTACCTTTAAAAATGACAGTGATGTCACCTAATTTTAGGGCAGTATCCATTTATTCACCTGTCTTAATAAATATTTAGTGTACACCAGCTATGTGTCAGACTTTGCATTAGGCCCCTGGGACACAGAGGCAAGCAGGGTAGGTGAGGTCCTGCCCTCACATGGCTTAGATCCATTGCTCAAGGGGGATTCATACAGTAACCCACCACGTCGTCATTAACATAATTCACACATGGTAACAAATTTGGACTGCGGTTTAAAGGTTTCCTTTCTTGAGCTTAGTGTTCCAACTTGAAAGTTCACATGGCCCCATCCAAATGCCTCTACTAATTCCCTTTTTATTTTATTATTATTATTATTATTATTATTATTATTATTATTATTTACATGTCTGAATCTCTTTGAAGGGAGGAGAATATTTTCATTTTAAAGAGAAAACAAAACAAAAGAAAAATTGCACATCTCAATTTTGTAGGTACAACCAAAACTGTCCTCAGACATTGTCAGATATTCTCAGGGGGATGGGGGAGTGGCAGGGGTGGGGTGGGGGAGGGGCAGCAAAATTGCTCCCAATTAAGAACCATTGAGTTAGAGCAACAGTTTTCAACTTTTTTCATCCCATAGCACACATAAACTACTCACATTCTCAAAAAATATATTTTTTGCCGAGCTGACAAAAATAATGGGTATAATTTTGGTTCGTTCACACTGATGGCAATTTTTGTATTGGCTGTGTCGTTTTTATTTGACAATCTAAGGGAAAAGAGGTCAATGCCTCTGGCTAAATAGTCAAGTCTCGAATGTTTTAAAAATTCTTTCGGTACATCATTTGAAAATTGCTGAGTTAGAGGAATGTAGGAGGGCTTCCAATAAGCAACTCTTTCAGTTTAGTTGACTAGGGCAATGAGAGCCAGTGGGAAGATGTAGGACTAATGGTGACACTGACAAACAGCAGTGACTTGATCTGCAAATTTGATATGTAAAGATTTCCGTAGGGGATCCTGGATTACTGAAGGCTTTGTACACAAAGATGAGATAAAGCAAGTAGAAGACTTTAAATTACATAGGAGTACCAAAAGTGACTTACCAGACATTTTTCCTTCTTGTTGAATCCTGTGATATATCCCGTAATAATAAACTTTTAAGAAGAAAAGAGACAAAAGTTAACAAGTGATGGATTTGACCACTTTACAATATAACTTACTTAGGAGGTTATATTGTGATCTATTGGTCTGTGGTTCTCCCAAACCAGTCTCTCTACCTGAGCATCAGAAGAGGAGGGTAACACAGATGTAGGAAATACTGTACTGGCCATGCTCAGCACTGACCAAGTCCTCTTTGCCAAGGTCAGATGGGAGAGGCAAGCCCCTCTTTAAGGTCCAAAGGATACCACTCAGATGTTTGGCCCAGCTGGGCTCCAAAAAGTAAGATAACCCTGGCCTCTGGGTCTGGAAAAGGAAGGGTGAGCTGTGTCTGCTCTGAGCAGATTAAAGGAGCCTTTCTCAGAGCAGAACGCTCTAAAGGCTGATATGTGGCCTGGAATCTGGTAATAATCTCAGCCACTTCTTTTTTTTTAATTGACTATTTTGTTATACCACATACGTAATGAGCAACTGATACAGAAAAGGCCATTTTTGGTTATTTTGTTAAGAAATGTTTCCCATAATTTCTCCCATTATAGTTCTCAAAGCAGCCACCACAACAGAGGAAGCATTAATTAGCCCATTTTATTCAGATACAAGAATGCTGGGCATTTACTGTCCCATCTGTAGTTGTATCAGCAGTGAAATGAACACAGTTTATATTACTCAACTATTCTTGGAACTCCAAGAACTGCTGAAGTCTTTTCTGAGGTTTAGCAGATGTTTGCACAGCATTCGAATGTTTTCCAAATGTGGTAGTTATTTGATAGATGGCAGTTTTTTGTGATGCTCTAATTGTAAATCCTAACATTTTATAAGAGGTATCCACAAGGGTTCCTGAAATCCAAGGTGGTGTACCGGAAGCATGAGGAAGCTTGAAGTACTTGTACTGCCTCTTGCAGAATCAACAAAGTACTAAGAATTGCTGGCCATGTGGTCTGGACAATTCCAAATCCATTTTCTCTAAATGACGCTGCTACTAAGTGAGACAGACCTTCCAGTGAAAAAACAGCCCGAATAGAGGCCTCTGGGTGCTTACAGAAAAAAACACATTATCAGCACCCATTCTTCTGACAAGAAATTTTTTATCTGTTCATGTTTATTCTGAATCCATGAATAATCACACTGGGCTGTCCATTGTCTTGCTCTCAGCACTAACAATAGATGGAGGATTAGAAAGTTCATTCATTTGCTGGTTAGAAGCAGGAGTCCATAAACTTGGTCTCCTTATCAGCTGAGAACTTTGAGGTTACCATAGCAGGTGTTTACATTAAAAGTTCCAGCCATCTGATAAAATTACAGTAGAGCCAAACTGGGACCCAAAGGGTCTTGAAACATTGAGTATAGAAGGCCAGGGAATCTGGCTAAATTTTGGGGTCTGAAAAGTACTTTCTTCTGGAGAATTCAATTTCTTAGGTTCCACTGGGTATGATAAAGACCTCACCCTTCCATTTTTAGCAGCAGCTTCTTGGTAGAGAACCAGCTTCTGAGTCATATAATTTAGAAGATTCAAACACTCCCTGGAAATAGCTGTCCAGTTGTGGGAATGTCCACTTGGTTGGCTAAAACTAAAAACTTCTTCCTGTCTTCATGAAGAATATTGAGAAAGCAACATCAGGTCCCGCAAGGCCAAATACTTTATGATAAGGGGCAGATGGCTGTTTAAAACTTTTGGGAGGCCTTCATCTGACTCTTCTTCAAATGGTGATTGAATAGGGAACAGATGAAGCTCTGTGGCATAGACTTGGAAGAGTATCCATGAGATGTACCAAGCCATCAAGAGAAAGATCCCACATAACCAGACACAGTAGAGTAATGAGATTCAAGAGGCCACTCACAGTATCAAGAGGCCTGTGAACTTGCTCATCAATCTGTAGGTCCACAGCAGTGCTAATCTAAGCTTTGGGAATACAGCCAAGACAATAATACACAATACAGATATTTTAAATAAAAAACCGTGATCCCATCCAACTGTGTTTAACTACTAAGAGCAAAGATCTCCTAAAGCACAAGAACTTGTATTGCTGTATGATGGGAAATGGAAGGTAGTTCACATTGTTAAGAAAATGCAGGAGGCTGTAGCTATAGCCCATAAAATGCTCCAGCCTGTAGAAAAAAAGGTGATACTGATTTAAGCAGGTTTGTGCAGCTGGGTTATCTAAGCTCTCAGTACCAGGGCAGGAAACCACAAGAAAACTGCATCAGCCCTTGGTTATCTCCGCAGCACATGAAGCCACCATCATTCCCATTGCAGCATGAATAAATAAGTATGTGAGCTACTGAGGATGAATGATATCCCTGAGGATGAATGAGTGCCAGTCTGGAGCAGAGAAGGGAAGGCACAATGCATAGAAGTCTACATTGAAAATACTTATTATTATTACTACTGACAGAAGGAAGATCATCGAAAGATCATATACAGATCATTGAAAGAATCAGACAGCCACTGTATGGGATGAAATGAATCACTGCTGCTGAAAACTGTAAACACTGTGGTACAGATGGAGAGAAGCAGCACTTCTCTCCAATACTTGCAACTATCCTCCAGCCCAAGCACGCCAAAAGATGTCCCATGACAACTATGTGCCAAGCACTTCCCTGACCTCCCAGGCCAGATATGTCCTCCATTAATCCTCACATGGTGCACCTGGAACTCCTTTCTTGTGCATGCTTAGCACAAGTTATGTTATTTTTACTTCTTCATTTCTAGCTTCCCTATTACATGGCAAACCCCAACAAATTCTAAGAGCAATCCGCCAGTTCTCTCAAAAAGGGTCTGTTTACCAGAACTCTCAGCAGCTAAGACACTGCTGAAGATATACTTTGTGCTCAGTAAATATCTTCTCAATGAGAAGTGGAGTTTTAACAAGCTGTAAGCCAGAACCTCATTAAAATTTATGCATGCAAATCACACAAAGTCACACTGGAAAAATTATTTGTGAAAAGGACAAGTGAGGAGTTGGTCTATTTGGTTTTTCTACAGTGCAGAGTGTGTAGTTTGAAAATCAGTCAATATTATATTATTTATATTTGGAAGTGAAAACATGACTAATTGTCTTTGTAATGCAGATTATAAAAAGGGCATAGAATATTTATGTTCTTCAAAAGAGCAGAGATTTTAATGGAGACAGTAGTCTCATTTATTTTTCATTTCATTCATTTGTTCATTGAATGATACATTCATTCACTCCTACTGTGCATTCAGCATGAGTCTAGATCCTGAAAATGTAACAACCAAGACAATATTCTTGCCCTCTTGGAGACTGTGTTCTAGTGGGGACAGTTCTAATGAGTCTACCCTTAAATATTGTGGCACAAGAATAGGAACCAAGGCTGTGAGGATTGGCTGGAAATAGCACCCTACTAAGAATTTTATTTATAGCTCTATAATTAACTAGATGAGTGACACTCACAAAATTCTTTCAGGATAACAAGGGAATTGAACCATAATGATCATCTTAAAATTCTCTTTAAGCTATGAGAGTCTGTGATTCTATGAGTGCTGACTAGATATTGGGTTGACCAAAAAGTTATCTTGGTTTTTTCCATAAGATGGCTCTAGTAGCACTTAATTGTCTTTAACTTTATTGAAAACAGTTCTGTTAAATTTTATTGTGACAACTGTCATATCATCATCCATTTAAAAAAAAACCTTAAAATTTATGAATCTTTGTGTAGCCATTTTAATATTGAAGAATATATGCAACATTTTTGGCATATTATGCTTTATTTTTTCAAGAAAGGTAAAAACACAACTGAAATGCAAAACAGATTTGTATGGAGAAGGTGTTGTGACTGAATGAATGTGTCAAAAGTGGTTTGCAAAGTTTTGTGCTGGAGATTTCTCACTGGATGATGCTCCATGGTTGTGTAGACCAGTTGACATTATTGGCAATCAACCTGAGATGTTAACTGAGAACAATCAACATTGTATTATGCAGGAGACAGCTGATATACTCAAAATATTCAAATTAATAAAGTTATTGGTGAAAATAAAAAATGTCTTTTATTTTACAGGAAAAAACCGTACAGACTTTGGCCAACCCAACATGTTTAAATTAACTCTTCTCGAACTCAGTTTCCTTATTTGCAAAGGGAAAAGCAGGGTGTTCACCCATCTAATCTCCCAGACTAATAGAAAGGAGCCAATGTTTTGTTATACATTCAAGGATTTTGGAAACCTTTAAACCCTGCACACCTATGAGTAGTTATTACTTTGATGATGGCAGTGCGGTGACTAAATGGAGTTACTTTTCTTCCCACGGAAGGGACTAGTCTTCTTGGGGACCATATTCATAGAATTCATTATCCCAGAACTTGAGGCCAGCCTTCATAGTAATTTCTCTAAAGTTCCTGACAGTACTCACAATAAGCGCTCCCCAGAATGGATATCCTGTGAAGAAAACAAGTGGAAATCTTTGGGAGTAACTGAAGTAATTAAATGCGAATATTGTTCCAACGCTCACAATGATCAAGGCAAGCAGGATCTGGACAGCCTGTGAGGAGAGAAATGGGTACATGAGGTTACAAGCACTGCAGTGTCTCTGTCCTGGCTCTCACAGGACCCTTGGGCTTCCCTCTAAGCCCCTGTCACACTTCCCTATCTCTGAATGCCTTCCTCTGTCCATTGGCCAACCACTCTCAGATTTTCAGAAGGCCCATTATTTCTCTTCATCACACTTGCCTGGGTCCTTCAGGTTCAAATGCTTTACTCTCATCCATCACTACTTGCTATAACCCCAGGTGTTAAACCAATTTATCTTGTATCAGACAAATTTGAGTATACATCTGACGCTACCTATAGATTGCAAATGCCCTAAAGACAGAGACTACAGGCTATTAACCTTTATACTTTTTTTCTTCTGTAGCCCCAGCATCCTGTTACTTTCCCTACTCCCCAACACACACGTTTTCCACATTCACTGTCTACTTTTGGGACTGTAGCTCAGCCCAGTTCTCTAAAAGTTTATAAAGTTCACTGACACTGAGTGGAGAAACTAAGGTGAGATTATGTCTCCTATCTTCATGCAGCCGCCTGAATAGAGTGGAGAGTAACCTAGTGGGCTTTTCAGCCGGCAGGGAAGGGAGCTCTGTGGTGGGCCCGTGCCTCTTCTCTTCTCAGTGCAGAGCTGTCCCCCCAGCATTCTGGGCTCTGTCCCTAGGCTCCACACGTCTGTGTCCTGGTGCCACAAGTAGTGATTTTACTCTTGTACTCAGTACTCTTGTACTAAGTGCTCTTGTACTAAGGGTTTTACTCTTGTGCATACAGCTCCCTTCTAAGTACATTTATGACTGTAATTGTTGTTGTGTGTGTGTCTACTTTGTAGCTCACTATGGACCACTGAGAATGGTTCTTAAAGACTTCCCAATGCCTGTAACAGCACAGAGGGGAAGTTTAAGCTCTAATGGCTTTTGTTCCAAGCTCAAGGATGCCACCACACCCTGAGGTCACCTCCTCAATAAAATATTTGGAAAAATTAGACCAGTTTCCCACATCTCCTCTGTTATGACTCAAAGAACAGGCCTAACTCCTCATGAAACAGCCACAGGATTTCCTTGAGGTGTGGGAGTTAGTAGTTATAGTTAAATATTCTATTTTGCAGAGTTAAATAAGCCCTCAGAAACATTTCTAAGACATGAGGCAAACTGTGTGTGTTTCTAAACAGAATTTTTTTTCTCTTATTTATCCAAAGTCTAAGAAAATGGTATTGGCTACATATTGGCTCTTCTACTGATGATCCAAGTATTTGTACAAGCAAATGACTTAGACATATTTATGATTAATCAGGAATGATAGACTGTAGTTGAAGGGTAAGGAAGGGGGAAGGCAGTTTACTCCCTCCCTGAAAAGTATCTCTGGAGACATATATGGAGAAATCATTTCTTTTCTCCCTTCCAGGAAGACCCATGGATGAGAAAGGACTTACCCCCAAGACTCTTGGCTCTCCCCTGAGGAAATCCAGCAGAGAGCTATGAGGCCCATAGGGAAATGCAGTCAATACGGTTTCATTTGGTTGTAGAGTGATGACATGGGTCGATCTTTTGACCTCAAGTGATGACCCCATGATTCAATGGCAAAACTCTATCTAAAAAATGAGTGAGCAAACATTGCAGCCACAATCATGGTCTTCCTTCAGTCCCACATGGAGTCCTTAGCCATGAGCCCATACTGATTACTCACCTCAGTACTAGAACCACAGAATCACAGTCATTAAGTCATAGAGTCTTAGAATTCCAGAGCATATCCAGCCCTGTATCTTCCTGGTGAAGAATCCAATTATCCAGAGGACTTACTTACTTGTCAATTTGTTTAGAAACAGACAGTAAACACAAAATAAATGGACAGTATACATAAAAGCAAAGTCCAACATCTATATTCATGAGATACAAAGGAACTAAAACATACAGAATATGCACTATGCTCTAGGCACTGTAGAGGTGTTTTGTTTTAATATGCATTAAATTTTTAAAAAACAATTCTACAATGCTGAAACTGAGGTATAGAAAGGTTAGCTTACCCCAGGTCACATACTAAGGGACAAGGGAAAGAGTCAAAGTCTGCTTTTCTGTCTCCAAAATCTGTGCCATTTCTGTTCAATCATGCTTCCACCCTCTTTCAGAAGGAGGCTCCCACTCATAGTTAATGAATTGTCCCCTGTATTTTCAACCATATCCTTCTGTAGTATACAAATCAGTCATTAAGAAGGTGTAGGCCCAATGTAGCTGCCACTTTAACAAAGCATAGTTTAGCTTTCAGAAAGACCAGTAAAACTAATTCTACTCGAGGTCTTCCTGGTTTAAATTATATAAATACAGTTAAGACAATAGAAAATCTTTTTGTAATTTTTCTTTCCACATCAGTACTTGATATTCCTATATCTGTTATGATTTTAACTATTAAATCATAAAGGCAAAATGATTTCAGAAAACCAAAGATATATATATATATATATATATATATATATATATATATATACACACACACACACACACACACACACACACACACATATTATCTTGAATATTTCCTCATTTGTGGCAACCATACACAGCAGGGTTTCTGCCTCAGCACTGCTGGCCAGTGGGGCCTGATGATTCTTTGCTGCAGGGGGTTCTGTGCATTGTAGGATGTTTGGCAGCATCTATGGCCTCTACTCATTAGATGCTAGCAGCAAGTCCCAACTATGGCAACCAAAACTGTTTCCAGACATGGCTAAATTTGCTCTCTGGGAGTGCAAAATCATTCCAGGTTGAGAACCACTGATGTACAGAAATAATCGCAGACTGTTCCCTCTGTTGATTTTTTTTTTTTGATAGAACACCTCTTTGTTTTTTACACCCAAACCACAGAGAAGGTATGTATTTCTCAACATAACCTTTTTCTGCCAATGTTAATTCAGGTAAATTTTAATTTGTATCTAAAGTGCAATGCAACATTTTAAACAAAACAAAGTGTGGGGCAAGTCTGTATGTAAATTCTAAGCAGAACTAAGAGGCCATGAGAATCTTGTAGAGTTTCAAAAGCCAGTTGTGCAAGAAAAGAGAAGTGCGCCCCCAATGGTGCTGACTCTAACTGCAGCCACAAACTGCACACATAGCATCTTTATCTACCACTGTGATTATTCGGTGAGCAAGTGATTGCAATACTTTAAGCCTTTTCTAACCTGTTAACTTACAACTTATATGTAAATAGTTTACTGCCTTTTACTCACATTTTAGAAAATGGATGGGACTTTGGGTTGACTAATAGCATATAATTTTTCTTCCTTTAAAAAGATGAAAAGGAACTGTCTTCATGCAAAATCCCTGATTTTTAGGAACAAAATACTGATATTAAGCAGAAGAAGCCTATAATTCTATATGCCTTGGTTATTTCAAAATGCATCTCATTTTATCATTTTGGTTGTCAGCCTCCATCTTTGCCTCCTGCTTCAGACTTTCAAACTTCTTGAAAATGGGCTCTCTGATATTTCAATCAATGGAATCAGACCAGAGAGCAGGAACTAGGTTTTCCATGGAAAGGTGAAATGACAGAACCCTTATGGGGCATCTATAAGCAAGATGGTATTCTTTGAGTGGAAATGGTATTCCCTCTTGCCTTCAACCTGCAGGAGACCTCCCCTCCTTGAGTTTGACAAGTAACATTTAGTGCTTAGTATGTGACAACACTGCTCTAAGTAAAATGAGATATTCACTCCCTCATTAACTTTGTCTTTCATCTGGTATTACCATGTTGCCTTCCCAAAAACCTTGAGAAGTAAGTTTTTATTATCATAACTATTTTGAAGACATAACTGAGCACTATAGTTACTGCTGGTAAGTGGTGGGGCTGAAATTTGAACTTGGCTTTTTCGCTTCCATTTTCCATGCAACAGTTCAGTGTGTATTAGTTTTCTATTGCTATGTAACTACCACAAATCTAGTAGCTTAAAACAGTACACATTTATTACCTCGCATCTTTCGTGTCTCAGGAGTGAGGTATGGCTTGGTTGGGTGCCTTTGCTCAGGACTTTGCATGGTTGCAGTCAACCAGTCAGCCAGGCTGTATTTTCACCTGGAGGCTCAACTGAGGAAAACTCACTGTTATGCACATTCAGATAGCTGACAGAATTTGTTTCCTTATGAGTGTATGAGTAAGGACTTTGGTTTTGCTGGCTGGAGGCAAGAGGCTGCCATCAGGACCTAGGAGCCCCCTCAATGCCTTGCTGCCTCACCTGGCTGCTTACTACTTCATCAGACCAGCAGGGAGATCTTGCACCAAGTTAGGTAAGATAGGAGGAAGGATTGGAGAGTTTGTGATAAAGATCTGAATATGTGTGGCTCAGTCACTGATTTGGGGTTACCGTTTTGGGGATGATGCATTTTTTAAAAAAAAAATTAAGAGTGAGAACCCAGACTTCTAATGTGTATGTTAAAGATCTGCAATGTCTGCTTGGATTTGGTTGAAACCATCTACTCCTCTTGCCATGAGTTCATTAGACCTTTCTGTTAGTGGTTTTTGCCTAACAGTTTTCCCAATGGGAATGTGGTAGAGAAGCAAAGAAAGGAGTCAAGAACAATTTCCAAACTTCTGTCTTTGGAAACTGAGTGGGTAGTCGTGTCATTTGTGGAAGACAACCAGGTTGGGGGTTGGGGGGTAGCAGGGGAGAGTTGAAAATGAAAGATGCAACTTTACTGCACCTTCTGTCAGTTTTAATATTATTCTAGGTAATTCTTAACATAGCTCTCCAGCTATCCTGAAGAAACTTTCTGTTAACAGCAAAAACAAACAAACAAACAAATAAGAAATAGGTCCTGGATAAAATATAATTTTATTGCATTGCTTGACATATGGGATAAAGAGGAATCTCAAAGGTTCTGTACCCAAGTTTAAAATATTCACACTTGCACACACACTTAAAAACCACTCAAATAGGAGCTGAAACCTCAGCAGGGAGCAGTAATTGAGTGCCCTAATGTAGCTTACAGATTATTGGAGTAGACATACAATTGACAAATAAAATACATAGTAAGTCACATGATAGTAAATACCATGAAGAAAGAAATAAGCAAGTGACAAGGAAAGAGGGTTACACTTTTTATAGGGTGGGGGGGTAGTTTTATTGCGGCTGAGAGATTTGAAGAGAGACCTGAAAGAAGTGAGAAAGCAATGAAAATAATTGCAAGAAAACCCTTTCAGGTAGAAGGATGCTGTGTAATAAAATAAAAGAATATGTCAAGTGTAATAAAATAAAAGAATATGTCAAGTGGCAGCAGAAGGCCAGTATGACAAGAGCAGAGGAAACAAGGAGGAGAGAAGTCAGAGAGAGGATCAGAGAGGAACTAAGAGTTTAGATCTTATAAGGACACTTAAGGATGCTGGCTCTTATTTGAAATAAAATGGAATGAGTTTGAGCAGAGAAATGACATGATCTATTTTAGATTAAAAAACAAACTCCTGCTGTCTGCTATGGGGAGAAAGGGCTGAATGGTGCAGGTGACCAGCTGGCTGCTTATTGTGATAACGTCAAAGGGAAATGATGAACCAGAGTACTTGTGGGATGGCGAGAAGTAATCAGACTCAATATATTTTGAAGTTAGAACTAGCAGGGTTTAATGACAGCTTAGTTATGATGTGCGAGAGTCAAGGATGACTCCAAGATTTTGGGGAGATGATGTTTTAAAAGAATTTGACTGTGGAGAAGACATGAGAGTTGGCTCAGTAACTAGACAGGCATAAGAGGTCAAAAGTAACTATTAAAATAGCTTTTATTTTGTTATAATAGAGAAGCAAGAGAACACATCCTATGTGCACAGCATCAGCATCCAGATCAAGGAAAAGAACATTTCCAGGAAACCACAGGCTCTCTGGGTCTCCTTCCAATTATTACCCACAAAGGTGACCATGCTCCTGATTCTAACACTGTTAGTTTTGCTTGTTTTTAAACTTTCTTTTATGTAAATGGAATTATACAGTACATTCTCTCTTATACATAGCTTTTGTCCCCCTGATCATTATTTTGTGGGTTTACCTATGTGGCTGCAGGAACTGTAGTTTGTTCACTCACACTGCTGTATAGTACTTAGTCATCTAAATACACCACGATTTTTATTTGTCTTTTCTACTGTTTATTTGGATAGTTTTCCTTTGAGGACTATTATGTGTATGACTTCTATGACCATATTTGCACACGTCACTTGGAAAACATACATGTATACTTCTGTTGCACAGTCCCCTCTGGGACAGGACCCAAGACCTAGACCCAGGGGCAGTATTAGGAATCTCTTTATTAGGTAGTTCACGTTGTTCACACTAATATGTAATGAAGTTGATATTATTTCTATGGGTCTAATTTCTCACTTGGTTAGAACTTAGATGGGACAGAGCACTGTAATTAATTATAATTTTTGAACCCAGATATTTAAGAATAAAGTCATTAAATGAGACAGACCATTGAGCTATTATATTTAATTGACAAAAATTTAATTCATTCAACTGACAAAAAGGAAGCCATATTTTAATTAAAATGTCCCTGCAATCCTAATATCTATTATTTAAGCAATATACATGTGAAAATAATACAGAAACAGAGCCTGCACAGGCACATAGCCAATTCACACTAGCACAAGAGGGCACATTTTCTCCTCTTATTTATAATAGACAACTACTTTCTGTCCAGTTTACCCAAAGAAGCATATAAATTTTATGGCCATTTTGGAAGACAGGCAAATAAAATTTTACTGGCCCAGCCTTTTGGGAAATTATTTTCAAGAGCAAGAAAATTACTCACAAAAAAAAGAAAGAAAAAAGAAAATTACTCACACTGACAAACTACAAAACAGTGGCTATTTTTTTTTAAAGTTTCTTCCAGAGTCTAAAATCGCTGGAAGTTCAGGGAAGTCTAATCACACTTTGCCTTGAGCACTGTGTTTCTCCTCCTTTTTTTCTCTAAGGTTGAGAGTTCTCACATCCATGACCTTGAAGAAGTCTTTGACATATTTGATATAATCTTGTAACTGAGGCAAAGAAAATGAATTATAGGAAAGATAAAATTTGTTAATAGAGGCTTTTGATTTTAGAGGCTTTTAAAATACATATTTATAATGCTTTCCCCACAAATGTTGTAGAGTAGTAGCTCTCCCAACTTTCTCATAATGTATAATTGCATCAATATTAGTTCAAACAAATGCCATTCTCTAATCTGCTAATTATGTTACCATTTCCTGATAAGACCATAACTGAATCATAATTTACTTGTTCTCTTTAAATGTTTCTCCTCTTTTTCTACTACAACTTTTAAGTAAGAGTTTTAAAAAGTTGTAACCTCAAGACCTAAGAAGAAGGAAGGAAGAACATGGGAAAGCATAAACAGAAGAGAGGATGTTCTAGTAAAATCTCATCACACAAGCAAGGGAACTGGGCAGGGAGGCAGGTGGCTGTTCATGACAAGAGTGAAGAGATGCCGGTTCTCAGCCTCAGCCCATGAGCCTGCATCATTCATTCTCCATGTGATTTAATCTAAGCGTTAATTCTTTTATAAGGGACTGGTCCAGGTGATTTCGAAAGTCATCTAGCTTCATATTAAGCAATTCTCTAACTAGTTTGTTGCCCAATAGACACCAACTGATCTCAGATGACCAGAGTGTCATCATGAAGGAGCCCATTAATTGAACTCTTCTCTCATTATAAAAGTTGCCTTCCACATGTACTCAATGACCAATAATGGACTTCTCTTTTTAGATCTGTATCATCATAGTTCAAATCTTGGGACCCAGCAGGTATCATGTGACATGTCAGAGTACTCACCCCAGGGTTGCTGGAGTAGACTTCTTTCCACCAAAAGACAGAAGCATATGCAGCCAGTAAGAATTCCAGCAAAGTTAAGAAAAACATCACCACCAGCACACCCTGCAAATCAGGACAGGGATGGTTGGTACCCTAAGCCAGCCCTTGCACCTGATTGAGAGGATATAGGAGATGAAGGCTGTAGCAGTGGATAAAATAAGGAACAAAGAAAATAGTTTAATGGTCTCTTTTGCTTTCTCTTTCTATCTCTTAACAGAAGAGAAATAAGCAGCCACAGTTTGATCTCAGAACCTTCATCTCAAAACATTCTGAGATAAGAGTATTTCTTCATTTACCTCTAGTGGCTTTTCTTTTTTCCTTTGTTGCTTTTTATTGCCATGGTGTTTTAGATGTGGATTTATTTTCATTTATTTCACACTGGTCTCAGTGCATTCCTTCAGCCTAAACTATCATGTCTTTTTAAACTTCTAACAAATGTTCAGTGATTTTTCTTTGAATAACTTTCCTCTCCCATGCTGTCCCACTGGAGCTCTGATAGATGTGTGTTAAACCTTTTCACTTTGCTGTATCCTCTATGTCTTCTAATTTCTCATTCATATTTTCCAAATTTTTATCTTAATGTGTTGTGTTTGGTGTGTTTGAATCAGACTTCCATTTAATTTCACTGTTTATTTCTTTGCATATGTTGACTCTGCTATTTAACTGTTATGCTAAGTTTTTAATTTAACATCAACTGTTATAATTTTCATTTCTAATCATACCATTTACTTTTTTTCAAATCTACCCGTTCTTTTTCTTCACTGTCCTGTTCTTTCATTTTGGTTTCAATTACTTTTTTGTGTGTCTTTAATCATTCCCAATATATTTTCATTATAACTTTTTTCAAATTATTATGTAGCCTCTAATTCTTGAGCAACTAACTTTCATGTTTGTCCCATTTGCTGCTTTTCCTCATTTTTTCTTATGTTTTACAAAATATTTTTCTTCTTAGATAATTTCAGTTTGGGGTGGTATTGGGGGAAATCCCTTCATTTGTGGGAAACTCATAGATTGGGTTTATGAACATCTCCCTCAATAGTAATTGTAGGTTTGACTCTGATAGAACCTTAGGAGTTTCACAGATCAAGGAAGTTTTTACATTAATGCTTCTATTTGAGGTTCCTCCCTTTTGTATGTAATTTTGGATTTGGATACCATATCTGTACAAGGCTTGATGAGATTATTTCATCCCTAGAAACCTTTACAGCAGACTTTCTTGAAGGCCCTTGGGATGTTGGGCAGAGTTTTTCTTGTCTTATTTTCGTAAACCTTCTGTCTCAGCTTATAACATTTTTGCAGGGTGCTCTATGTGCACTCCCTGCTTTCTGTGGAGCCTCAAATCCTGCCATGGGCATTAAAACTCCATGACCCCAGTCTCTGACACCTTTTCTGGTCTCAGCTCTTGTTTGGTCATGACCTGGCTTTAGGGTTTTTCTTAGTTTCTAGAACATACCGTGTTTTTCTTCCTTGATTTCTTTCTTTCTCTCACCCTCCCTTTCTTCCTTCTTCTGAAAACCATGGATATATACTGTAAATATTTTCTAATTTGTTACTTTTGCCCAGGTTATCTTTATGTTAATAAAGAAAGAGTGAACCTTTGAACTAGCTTACCCTGCCATGGTACAACTCCTCTGATGTTGCAGAAAGTTTTCTTTGACTCGTTATCTGAGAGTGGGAGGTAGTTTGGTGTACTGACATTAGTTTTCATTAAATTAAGCCCCTACTTTCCCAGTGGGGAGGATGCCTCTCCCAGCCCCATTGCTTTGCCTAACGTCTGACCTACATCAGGGTTATACTATCTCCTGGGCTTCCTCATGCTGGCTTCTACCAGATGGGTCTCTGCGCTATCTCACTTCCTCAAGCTCCTGGGTCAAAGGGGTTTATTTTTGACACCCTCTAGGTCACATGGGCAGACTCATGGGAAACTATGAGCCCAGAAAGTTAGCACACATTCTCTGAGATTCACAAGACAGACAGACCCCAGGGAATGAAATAGAAGTGACTTTGTCTCCCCAGCTCCTACTGGGAGGACTCACAAAGGAAGAAATCTTTCTCCTTAAAGGGTCAGAGGTGATGATTGCAAAACTCTGAGCCTGTATAGAGAGGACTGACTACACCAGGATTGTCACCATCAACAGGTGGTGACCATCAAGTTTGAGGGAAAGGCAGCAAGAAAATGCTGCCCATAGAGGTTGGCATTTCCCCTAAGAATCCTTTGGCAGGCCATCTCCTATGCCCTTCTCACTCTCTGCCTGCCAAAGTATAATAATTATATGTTTGGACTTTGGATTCAAAATCCTTATGTAACTTAATGCAGGATACACTCATCCCAAATCAATGAAATTCAAATAAAGAGGGATATTTCTGGGATATTTCTTTGAGGGAAAAAATGCCTGTTCAACTAAGGGGGCAGGCAGTTTGAGAGCTAAACCTACTGAGATTTAAGAAGGGACTACCCACATTCCTTCTCGATTTCCTTTTTTGATTTTGCACAATGCATCCTATTATGCAGTCTGCTGATGGGCCTCCTTCAACGATATTTATTTTTCTTCTGTCTGCTTCCAGATATTCAGACCAACAAGGCTAGGGACTCCTGAAAAAGAAAGATTATGCAAGGGTGGGGGACAGAGATTTCACATGACAGGATATTTGATCCGAAAGTGCTTACTGTTAGACTGACACCATCCAGGACACAGTCTTCAAAGTCGTATATTGGATAATCGTACTCCAAATCAGGCAATGAGGTTAGATGTTCCCTTTGTGAGCCACATAGTTGAGAGGCACTCCCCAGGGCTACAAGGCTGTCAGCAAGGAGGATGAGGCCTGTTACAGCAACAACGGAACTCACTGCATTGGAAGTCAGGCTGCTCACAGCCTAGAAGAGAAATTCTGCATTGGAATCTCATCACAGAAGCAACATGTCATTCTGTTTCCCTCCTTCTACCGCACTGCAATGGAGCTTCCTTGGGTCTGTCACCACTCTAACCAGCATACTCCTAATGGGCACATACTGTGTTCCATTCATCCCTATATCTCTCCTATCTAGTTCATTATATTACTCATTATATGAGTAAATGTTTGTTGAATAAGAGAATCTGTGAATAATTCCTGGTTTGGAAGAGGCTTCTGGCCCCTTGACTCTCTGCAGCACTGAAGACAGAAGTGATATTGTCAATATCTCCCTTGACTTCATCAATAGACTTAGAATCATTCTAGAAGCTTTAAGGGCTTCCCTCCCTGGAAGACCAATCTATGGCTTCTTCCTCCATAATGAAGTGGATTCAGAGAAAAGGCAGAAGCACACTGGAGAAGTTGGAATACATTCTATAGGTGAGTCAGGCCTATGAGAACCTCATTTACTGTACGTGCTCCTGGGTTATAGTCAACATTTTGGGGGAAAGGGCTCTTATGGGATGTCATTCCTCTGCAAAGACACTGATGGGCCAGACTCTGTACCAGTCCTCATTTCTGTACCAGGGCATTCCCTTTTCTGTTTGAGCATCATTGTAGAGTGCTGGGCATTGGGAGGATGGTTGCCTTATCTTCTTCTCCCTTGGCCCAGTAGCTATATGGCTTCAAGTTGCTGAGTCCCTGAAGGAAGAACAGAATGAATGGGCAGCACCTTGTCCCAAAGTTCTCATATGAGCCCACTTATCATCCTGTCTCCCACATGTGGAGCCCATATTGTATCAGTTCAAGCCAAGTACAGTCTTTCCTTTCAGTGTATTCAGGGCACTTGGGAAGCAACATCTGAGATCCACATATTCATCTTCCACATTTTGTAAATAAGAAAACTGAAGCCCAGAGAAGGAAGGAACTTTTTAAAGCACAAAGATGGATCAGGGACAAAGCTGGGATGGGAGCATAGGTTTCCTGATTCCAAGTCCAGAATTCTGACTCCAGCCAATGCTGTGAACTCTTCAAAACCCTATCCACTGGTACCGAGGTTCAGACTCTAGCTTCAAGGATCAGGAGCATATACCAGCCTTTTGCATCTTATGTGCACTCATCCATGGCTAACCAGACCCTAGATCTTCCTGAGTCAGGATATGGTTTTTCCCTAAGTCATCTCTGTGCGTTTGTGTCAAGGGAGAGGGTTGCTATGCAGAAGATCAAAGCCTTCAGCTGCTTCTACCCACTACCCCCAACTCCTGACCTTTGTCAGGAAAGGGACCACAGTCTGATCATTTCTTGTTCCTGTAGGAGTGGAGGAGATAGCCAGAGAAGATCTAAGCCCATACACCTGTGCCTCTGTCCATGCCATTTAGGGAAATTGAGTCATTATTAGGTCGATTTTTCTAGAAAAAAAAAGAATCTCTAGGGTCTGGCTGGGATGTACCCTATTCAGGGCCAAGATAAGTTTTAAACAGTACAGTGATTACCAAAGAGAAAAAGGGGTAGGGGTAGGCATAAGAGGGTATGGAGGGGATAAATGGTGGTGAACACAGACTTGAGATGGTGAACACACAATACAATGTACAGATGATGTATTATAAAATTGTACACCTGAAACCTGTATAATTTTAATAAGCAATGTCACCCCAAAAACTTCAACAAAAAAAGAAAAAAGCTTTAAGGAATTCTTGGTATATGTAAAAATTTCCACTGTTTAAGCAACTGAGGTAAACCTCCTCTAAGCTTGGAACATGATCCAGGGGCTTCATCTTGTAGGGGTGAGAGCACTGGTCCAAAAGGCAAGGAATCTGGGTTTTACTCCTAGTTTTGCCAGCAGACCAGCAGGCAAAACTTGAGCTCTCTCGCTTGTTCTGAGCTATATTTCTCTAGACACTCAAATGGAGATTTTGAACTGGAAGAATTAACTCTGAAGTTCCACTCACACCAACCAGCTGAGACTTGACGGTTCTTATACTTACAAAAGGCTTAGTTGATTTTTTCCCAGAGATAATCGAGAGGAATCCAGCAATGGCAAACTGTTCAGAAAAGAGAGAAATAATCAATTCATTTCTTTTGTGGAAATGTGTCAATCACTCAATCAATAAGCACTGTAAAACTTTTAGAAAGCTAACACTGTAGGAACAGTGTGGATCCATACAGATAGAGAGACCTGATTTCTGCCCTCAGGATGTTTACATTGACTTTGAAGAATCAACAGATGCACAAGGGAATGGACTCATGTTAGTGAAAATAGTTGCAAGCTGAGGAAGCCTGGAGAGGAGGTGTGCATGATGTGAGGAGAGTGTTATAAATTACAAGGTTGACTATTAACCCAGGCCTAGTGTATCATCTAGAAACCTCCCTACAACAGAGGTCTAGGGATGTCTACTTGTTGCAACAGGCCACACTTGTCTAGAAGCTGTATCTGCAAAGCACTTGATGTGAGATGGAAACATCTGGAAACTCCTCACTTACAATCAACTGTAACAGGTAGGGATCTTCCTAATAGGTAGGGATCTTTCTTAATTATTCATGTTTATTGTTAGGGCTGTATTTTTTCATCACAGAATCTGACTGTAAATATAGTTTATGTATATGGCTTTTCTTCCCTGAATTTAATTGTAAATAGAGTTTTCTTTTCTTTTTTTTTTCCCACTAAACATCATCTGGTAAGCCTTTTCTCATTGAATCATTATTCTTGTCTTTCATGGTTAGTAATGTCTCACCATCTAAAATAATTCCATAATAAACATCATTGTACATTTAAAAAAATTTTTTACAAGGTTGAAAGAAAAGAAGTTGGGAAAGACCGGTGACTTAAAGGGATAGAAGATGGGAGTGGCCAATAGAAGCACTTGGTGGGACAAGGTACAGAAACACATGGGCTTCAAGCCATTGGTATAGGTAGCCTGAGTTAGACTGGGAGTGGAGGAAGGTGGGCAGTACAGGGTCAGATGTGAATAGTCTTTCATCATAAAGCCCTGGAAGTCAATATTTGATCCCACTGGTGTTAGGGATTCAGCTGGAATTAGATATTCTGAGAAGCTAAAATGTTGGTTAAGCTGTGATTTAGGGATTTGGTTGTCACAAACAGGGTCCAGCAGGAATTAATTCTAATATATAAGCCACAACTACTGGCTAGATAGAAAAGTCAAGGACAAATTATGCTTTGGGTGTATGAACAGGTCCTTTTTGTGTTCACACAAGGACTGTATCCATATAGAACTGATGTCTTGGTAAGATTCATCTGCTCTGCTCAGAATGTATGCCTTTCTCAACTTTGTAGAGGATACCACAAAGAAAAAAGCATAGGGGGGAGATATGATTAGGCCTTAGCTAGTGTCCAAATAAAGAAATCCACTGGGCCCTTAAATGAGCCATTATTAAATGGAAGGCAGCAAAAAGTCTTTCCAAGCACTGATTGCCTCTGAACACAAAGCAAGAGTATCCCTGCTTCCCATGAATTTTACCATTGCTGGTCTAATCCTCTGTAAACCTGTGGCATCTACCAGTGGTGCTCATTTTATTTTAAAAATGACCTTTTCACTCTCTACCTGACAGGTGAATTATTCCTAAACTGGAGGGAATCCAATGGCCTCATCGAAGGCCCAAAGAAGAGTGTGAAAAAATCTTCCACTTTTCCAGAGGCACTGTGTAAGGCCAGGTAAGAGATGCTGGTATGCCCATTGCATTACCCCCTTGCTTTCTGTCCCATCCATTCACTCCATGGGATGCTCACTCAGGATAGTAGATTAAACCCCTCTCTGCTCTTCCTGAATTACAGAGATATGATGAGGGATAATAACAGAGGGAAAGTTGAAGACATTTGCCTTTTCCAGCTCTCTCCCCTCCTCTTGGGACTGAGATACTCCATGACTTAGCACCCTGTTAGCATTTATAAAGCATATCCCCTCTTGGAGATCCCACTCTACTCACACACAGAGCTCCTAAAAATGGGTACATCAATATGGTGGAAACTGCAGGCTTGAGGTGGGAAGAGTAGGGAGATGAAACCAAAATGGCCCCCAAACTTAAAATCAGCAGGCAACACAGGATCTGGATACTCTACAAGAGACAAGAGGGAAAATTCTAGAATACACTTTAAATAGATAAAAGTGGCTTTTGCATGTACATTGTGAAGTATAAAAAGTCTTAAACTGTTATAATTTGTCATACCAAAAAGGAAAAAAATGTGTTACAAAGAGTAAATAGACAATCTCTAAGAGGAATTCATGTGTTACTAACAATTTTTATTTTCTGATAGGATTATTAAACTAGCAAATCAGGGCATTGATTATGTGAACATTTTAACTTTATTTTGAAAAAGTTAGTTGACAAATTTTTTATGGTTCTAGGAGAAGTAGTTAGAGAAAATTTTTTTCTGGACAATGGTCCAGTTAGATGGATATAGAAAGCAAACTTACCAAGGGAGTGTTCATAAAGGGCTCAATTTCAATGGAAATAGAATAGAGCAGGAATTCTTCAGTGCTGCAATTTAGCTCATCTTTGTCATCAATGGATTTTAATAATAATTACTATTTTTTTAGATTTTTTAAAAGATTTTATTTATTTATTTTTGAGAAAGGGAAGGGAGGGAGAAAGAGAGAGAGAGAGAAACATCAATGTGCAGTTGCTGGGGGCCGTGGCCTGCAACCCAGGCATGTGCCCTGACTGGGAATTGAACCTGCGAATCTTTGGTTCACAGCCCGTGCTCAATCCACAAATAATTACTATTTTTATGAAAGCCATGATGATAACATATTCTACTTCTGACTATTCACCTCATCTTATTCACAGACAAGAAAAATGAGGCACCAGGAGTTAAAATAACTTGTACAAACCCACACAAATGGCTGAGTGGAAGAACTAGAATTTAGGCCTGTTAGTTTCATCTAGAGCCCACACTCTTACTTACTGTTTAGTGAATATTCAGTTGAATGATGATGCAAACATAGGAGAAATAACCTAAAGTCAAGAGAATTCAACCATTCCTACAATTAATTTATTGAATATCTATTAAATGCCAAGCATCAGGGGAATAAAGCAAATATAAATCACTGCCACTTGACAGGTATTATGTCCTTTACAATGACTTCCTTGGAAAATAGCATGAGTTAAGAGCAAAGTGGTAGGAAGTGAGACATGAGAAGTACTGTGGGCATGATACAAACTATGCAGGGCTTTGTGGGCTCTTTTATCAACTCTGTCTTTCATTTCCAGTAAAAAAGGAAGCCCACTGGATAATTTTGAGCAAAATGGTTACATGATCTAATTTCTATTTTCAAAAGATTATTCCACATGCTCTGTTAAAAAATATGTTGTAAGGAAACAGAGCACGGAGATCACCAAAAAGGAGAGTACTGCAATAACTCTCATGTGAGATGATCTTGACTTAAAAGAAATTTTGATAGTACAAATCATAAGAAGTGGCTGGATTCTAGAGGTACTATAAAGATTAAACCTATAGGATTTGCTGAAAGTTTGAATGTGGATTATGAAAGAGAAGAATGGAGGTTGCCTCCAAAGGTTTTGGCTTGGGCTTCTGAATTGATAAAAATGACAATTGATCTGAGATGGGAAGTATTGTATGAGGAGTGGTTTTGAGGAAGAGGATTAGGATTTCAGTCCTGTACAGGTTAAAAGAGAGATGTCTAGTAGATATCCAAGCAGAGATGTACACAGGCTTTTGGACATATGAGTCTTAAATTTGGAGGAGAGATCCAGGCAAAGGACATAGCCTTTTTTTCCCCTAAGTCATAAGTGTAGGTAATATTTGAAGTCATATTACTGGATGAAATCAGCATTGCAGCAGATTTTTTTTATTTTCTAAATTACTTTATCATTGTTCAATTACAATTGTCTGCATTTCCTCCCCCAACCACTCCCCCACATCGCAGCCGAACCCACCTCCATCCCTTGCTTCCACCTTCCCCCTTGGTTTTGTCTATGTGTCCTTTATAGTAGTTCTTGATAACCCTTCCCTCCACTTTCCCCTCCCTCCTCCCCTCTGGTTATTGTTAGATTGTTCTTAATTTCAATGTCTCTGGTTACATTTTGTTTGCTTTTTTCTTTCATTGATTATGTTCCAGTTAAAGGTGAGATCATATGGTATTTGTCCCTCACCGCCTGGCTTATTTCACTTAGCATAATGCTCTCCAGTTCCGTCCATGCTGTCGCAAAGGGTAGGAGCTCCTTCTTTCTCTCTCTGCAGCAGATTTTTAAAAAGAATGGAAGCAAGGATTGAGCTATGGAGCACTCCAAATTTAGGACCAGGGAAATTCATAGAAACTGTAAACATGCCTAAAAAGAGCAGCTGAGGAAAAAAAAATAACCAGAAGAATGTGATGTCCAAAAAGCCAAGTGAATAAAATGTTTCAAGTAGGAGAGTGTGGTCAGCTGCATCAAACATTTTCATTAACTCAATAAAGTTGACAACAAAGGCTTAAAAATTGAGTTAGCAATGTGGAGCAAAGGTGATCAATGCCATTGGACATGATTAAAGAGAGGCTATCATTCAAGAATAATTGGAAATATTGACTTCCTGCCTTTTAGGAGAGGGTTGCGGGGAAGGTAAGTAATGAATAGGGCATCAATGTAGAAAGTATAAATTTAAAAGTATTTGTTTTGGCTTTCCTTTTTCAAGATAGTAAAAATTGCAGTAAGATTCTGTGCTTATGAAATTAATTTAAAATTTTGCAGAGAGATGGGGAGAATTACTGGAACAAGTGATAAGGGATAAAATTTACTGCATGAAGGGAGGGTTATCATTAATTAGATGGATATTTTATTCTTTTTTTTAAAGGAATACTATACCATATCATTAGTTTCCTATTTTTTTTAAAGATTTTATTTATTTATTTTTAGAGAGGGAAGGGAGGGAGAAAGAGAGAGAGAGAGAAACATCAATGTGCAGTTGCTGGGGGCCATGGCCTGCAACCAAGGCATGTGCCCTGACTGGAATCCAACCTGAGACACTTTGATTTGCAGCCCGCGCTCAATCCACTGAGCTATGCCAGCCAGAGTGGACATTTTATTCTTAATAATTGGGGTGGGGGGAAAGAATGTATGGGCACAGGTATGGGAAATTGTAGATGTGTAACAGTTTGTGGACATTCTATCCAGATTGCCTCAACATTTTTAGTATAATAGGAAGCAAAGTAATAAATGGAGATGGAAGAAACATAAGAGGTTTGAGGGATAAGAATGTATGAAATAGTTTCCTGGGGTAATAGGAAAGTGAATAGATGAAAGAAATATGTATTTTTAGGTAGCTTATTTTAGTCCATTTGAAGTTGTGGTCACAAATCAGAAGGGTGTGTGCATATGTGTGTGTGTGAGTAAGATTAGCTGCATGGATTCGGATATGGAGTAGGAAAATGGGCAGAATTAGAATTAAATCAATGTCACAGTTTTTTGTGTGAAAACTATGCTTTATAGAGATGAGGCTGTTGAGAGCTTCCATAAGAGTGAACTATAAAATTTTGGCTAGGTGAAGGAAATGATAATATAAGGAAGTAAGACTGTGAAAAAGAGATATTCTCAATAAGTCTCAGTGAGAGTAAAGAAAGTTCCAGTCACTGTACAGTAAGAGGGAGTGACCTAGAAAGATTAAGGTTGGTGCTTGGAGTATGGGATGCAGGAAATGTCGATATTGATGGGTTTACTGCTCTTAGTATTGATAAAATCCAGGGTAAAAGTCAGGGAATGTTTATCCAAGGAAGTATGGATAAAATACCATGAAGAAGAGGTCAAGGAACAAAGAGCACATGATACTTGAAGAATCATAAACATGAATATTGAAATAGTGAAGGCTAATGATAGAAACTTCACCGGAGGGAGTCACAGTGATTAAGGAGCTAATTTCATGAAGGGAAAAGGGGTAAATTACTTGGGAGAGTGAAAGAAGTGGGAATGCACTGAAATTTGTCTTTATCTCTTAAAAACTATGAGGATGTCACTTTTTTCCTTTCAGCTGCATTGTTCCCTGCCTATTCTAAGTGTGTAAAATAGTGTCTGATGTCTTGAAGGTGCTCAATTAATGGTAAATAAATAAATAAACAATATTTCCTATTGATTTCAGAAGCAAATGAAATGTGTTTGTTATTCTAGGCTATGTGTAGGCTAGATTGTAGGGTGCATCAGCTGAAGGAACAAGGGATTTCTTCCGAGGGAAAAATGCAAGTCAGCATGGCATCAGTTAGTTAAAAGAAGTTAATTAATGAGTTAACATTGGTAAATAACAGTAGAATAACAAATATTGATTGGTTTTAGTTTCAGGCAACATATTCATCAAATGATTTTTCTAAGGATGATCACTTTTCAATTTGCCAATACATCATTTAATGTTCTGATTATTTTTATGTTTTTAAAGTCAACAATCTTCTAGAATTTTAATACTCCTATAATTTCTCAATTATTCCTTATGTTAAAATTACCTTTAGAAAAACCCTTTGAAGTTCATGACTGACTATAATTACTTGAAATAATTATTCTTTTCCAGTGTTCAAAATATAAATAACATTTTTAAGAATATCATTTTGGGTAGAAGACTGACTTAGGATTTTTCAAATAATAAATGAAAAGAACAATTAAATTGCTTTTTTAAGTGGGAGTGAGTTACCTAGTAAGATGACATGAGATTCTAAAGCAGGAGTAGAGATGAGAGGGAAAGCTTGATCTAGAAGTGTCCCTGAGAAGCTAAAAAGACACTGCCATCACTTCTGTGCTTACAAGTAAGGGTTGCAGTGGAAACAGTTCCTTCAGGGCTAGATTTCTCTTTGCACTATAGATGAAGAGGCCTTTGAGAAAAATAAAAAGCTATGGCATAAAGAGGATATGCTGTTAACTGACCTTGAATTCCAGAGGGGATGATTAAGCAGGTTTCCAAAGCTGGGCATAAGTAGGAGTTGGGTCTTAAAAGAGGATATTCAGAACCATGAGGGAATTAAAGTCCTGGATCTGAAGGAAGACAATGACCTTGGACACTGGGATGTCTTACAGTGACTCATGTGAACAGGGAGAAAGTGTTTGGTGAGATTAGTCCAGATCGTGTGGCCTCAAAACGTTTAAGAAATGAACTTAAAGTAAGATCTAATTCAATCATGTTGAGTAAAGCCATGCGGTTACATCAATATCTCTACTATAATTAAGGACAATTTATAAGAGACTTCACTGTGTAGATTTCAGGTAGAAAAGACCCAGTGGTTTTGTTAGTTTGCAGAAAGGCCTAGGGAGGACATAGTTTTCCCATGAAGCCCCCGTTCCATGTCTCCATTAGCCTAGAGTGAGACAGAAAGAAGTGAGAAACTCTCCCAGATCCATTGTAGATCTGTAGTTGGGATACATTCACAATATTTTCCCCAGGGTTCTTCTTATAATGAGGTGGACTTACCCCAAGAACTGTGGTTTCTTTTTGGAGATCATTGTCCAGTTTACCTTCTTTTGAGGGGATAAAGGTGTCCTTTGGAGTGAAGGAGTCAAAGGCTTCCTTGGCTTTGGGCTGTGATAACATAATGCTGGTGATGCTGAAAGAGGCAGTGAACTCAGTTAGGGCCCAAGGTTTGACTTAATGCTATAAAACTCCCAAGGAGCAGACTTTGCAGGCACTTAAAATTATTCTCCATTGTCCAAGGGATGACCTGTCCTCAGGTGGACAATTCACATAAAACTTGCTTGGCAGCCTTGAATCCACTTCACTTGCCCTCCAATAATCTCTACTTCCAGATTCTCTTCCTCCTGTACCTCTGCTTCACCTGTGACACATTCCCACACAACATCTCCCTGTATTCTCCCTTTGTGCTACACCTACACTGCCTGCTCAGGCTTCCATCATTCTCTTGAATTTTCTTTCCATTAAGAGTTGATTAATCCTATTCCACATCCTTTTTCTGTACCACCTGAAATGACCCCCTGCTGATATTAGCTTAAAATTTGTTAATATAAACATTTCTTTAACTCCTGATGAACTCCAGGTACTAGGCCATAGCAATTCTAATTCTTATAACAACTTAGATATTATTAAATCCACTCCATACACTAGAAACTCATGACTAATTAAGTTCAAGTGACTTTCACTAAATAAAATAGTCACACAAAGCACTAAGCCTGGCACATAGAAAGTTTTAACACATGGTAGCAAATATAATTATTAATAAGCCTGTATTTGCATAACCAGAAAGTGCATGAACCAAGTTGATCTAGCTCTCAAGCTTGTGCTGTTTTTCTCATTACCACATTAATTGCCCTCACCCCCCCATTTCTTCCTTCCTAGGTTTGGCAGTTCCAATGTAGACTCAAGCAGTAAGCTGTCTGCTGTCCACCAGCACTGAGCAATGCTGTCAGCTCAGCAGCATTGCTGGGCCTCTGTGGTGTCAGCAGCACAGTTCAGTCATTGGGCTGCTCCCCAGGTCTGTTCTCAGCAGGCCATAGTTTGGATGAAGGCATATGGTAATCTGATGGTGCCACAGTTCTGTCCATTGACATATCACCTCAATGGTCCCAGGTTCTCTTGGAGTGTGTAACATCCAAATATTGGAACAGGCATCCACAATCTTGTTGCTAGTGGGGGAGGTAGGAAAGGTCACTGGGCTGGGAGTCATAGCTTCAGCATCTAGCTGCACATCTGAGCATGTGTCTTGGAGTCCAGTCCTATGCTAACATTCTATGCCCTCCAATTATTACTAAAATACCATAGGCAAAGTTATTTTAGCCACCTCATACATTTGTGGTGAGGGTTATATAAATAAGATGATGCATGTAATGTGTTCAACAGAGTGACCGATAAACTCTCAATACATATTAGCTGTATCTCAAACTCATTGGAATTCCAGCTCTGATACTTACTAGCTGACCACAGGCAGATTATTTCCCCTCATTCATCCTCAGTTTTCTTACCTATAAAATAGCATCATGAAGGATTATTGTGAGGAGTGGAATGAGGTGATGCATATGAGTGTTCTTTGTCATGCCTCTGAAGTCTTGATCAGATGCTCAATAATACTCAATGGGAGGCCAATAACCTCTACCTCATTTCTACTCCTACCTCTATGCCTTGGTCAAGTTTCTCATGCTCTCACAGCATCAAGTACCTTAATCAAAGACTTATCAAAATAAAAGTCTCTTTGTCTATGGAAATAGTGATCTTTTGGAGGGATCTGGGGATCTGGGTAGAAGTTTGGGTGAAATTACATGAACAAGGAGAGGAACAGTGTTGATACTAAATCCTCACAATAGAGCTGGAGAGAGGATGCTGTTGATGGTCCAGGCCCCTTCTGGCACATCTTAAAAGCCAGAGAAGTCAAAAAAATAATAATCAGATTTGGAAAGATTGTAGGTTTCAAAACCAAATACATTTTTGGTGAAATGATAATAATTACTAACAATATTAAGCAGCTACTATGAGTCTGGCACTCTGTTAAGAACTTTGTGTGGGTTTTTATTTAATCTACCCAATGACTCTCTGACATAGTTACTATTCTTAATTGAGTTCTGCAGATAAAAATGAGGCTTAGAAACTCAAACAATTTGCACAGGATTTAGCACGTAGTGAAGGCAAGACTTCAACCCAGGTAGTCTGATTCTGGAGCTCTTCTACATACTGTACGTTTAGGCCTGCCAATCCAATTACACATAATCCTCAGCCCCTGTATCCTTTCCTTCCTCCCTTGTGGCTATAGTCCACTGGTTGCCACTCACCAGCTCCATCATGCACAGTAACATTTCTGACCTTAGAGAATAAGGGTTGAGGGTCTCTAACTCCAGAATTGTTCCTGTATTCTGGCAACTTGGCTTCTGCCTCACTTCTGTGGCGTAATGGCCCAAATGTGCCATGTAGACCCCTTCTTCTTTCTAGCCTTAGTAACCAGTCTTTCAAGGTGTATGTATCTTGTCACATATTGCAAGATTTCCTTCTTTCAAGGTTAACCTTGAGGACAATGTGCTAAGCATGATAAACCAGTCACAGTAGGACAAATATTGCCTGATTTAACTTATATAAGGTGTGGCAGATAGTCAAACTCATAGAAGCAAAGGCTAGGATGGTGGTTGCCAGGACCTGGGGAGGAGGAAATGAGGATTTGCTGTGCAACATGTGTGAAATTTCAGCTATTCAAGATAAATTCTAGAGGTGTGCAGTACAACATTGTCTCTATAGATAGCAATACTGTATTTATACATTTAACAAGCTGTCAAGAGGGTAAATCTTATGTTAAGTACTTTTACTACAATAAAAAAAATAAAGAAATGAAGTTGGGAAGACAGAAAACCAAACACTGACCCCAACTTAAGGATTTTTAAAAAGTCCCTGTCCTTCTGAATTCCTTTTTGCATTTTTCAGTTCTCATACTCAAGGACTACAGCATGAGCCTGATTCTAAGCCTGAAGCCAGGATCTACAAGCCCAGTTGGTAGCCTCTAGCTCACTGCACCCTTGGGTACCATGTACACTCATTTGTTTAATTATTTCTGTTGGTTTTGTTTAAAAGAGTGCATAACATAGCAAATACAACCAAAAGGGAAATAAGGTTTGAAAAAGAAAATTAAAAATTTCCTTAAATCTTAACTACCACACATTGATTATTTCATGCATGTCCTTTACATTCTTTTCCTCCTTTCTCATTTTGCTTCCTCTTTATTTATTTATGTTCATATACATTCATCATTCTGAATAGACAGAATAATTTTTCCACATTATTTATCAATCCTTTTGCACTCAACATTATTCTATGAATATTGTTGACACTAATACATAGAGATGATAACAATTCTAAATGTAAAAGCCAAGCAGGAAATTCTGACATGTGCTACAACATGGATGAACCTTGAATACAATGTGCTAACTGAAATAAGCCAGTCGTGGAAGGACAAATATATGATTATACTTCTGTGAGGCAGCCACAGTACTTAAATCCATAGAGACATATAAAACTGAAAGCAGCAAATGAACAAACAAGAAAACACACAAACAAAAACTCAGAGACACAGACAACAGTATGGCGGTTACCAGAGGGAAGTGGGGTCAGGGTATAGTCAAGGATAAAGTGGATCAAATATATGGTAACAGAAGATTTGACTTTGGGTGGTGGGCACACGATGTAATATACAGATGACGTAGCCTAGAATTGTATGCTTGAAACCTTTATAATCTTATTAACCAATGTCATCCCAATAAATTTAATTTTTTTAAAAATGTAGACTGATGGTTACAGGGGCTGGGAGGAGAGGGGAACATGGAGTTACTGTTTCACAGGCATGGCGTTTCAGTTTGGAAAGCTGACAACGTTTTGGAATTCAGTTGTGGAGGTGGCTCCAGAAGAAATCTCCACACTGATGCCATCATCTCCAAACTCTGCAGGCTGAGAAGGATCTTTGCCCTTTCACGTTCACCACGTGGAAACAAACTTGAGGTGGCCCCCAGCTTCTCAAGATAGTTCTAAAATCCCCTCCTGGGAGGCGAATCGTAGTTTGGAGGACAACTTCTTTGCACACAGCAATTTTCTCTATTACAGAATTAGAGTGGAACAATGGGGTCCTAATGCAGGATTTACAGTAATCTAATTGCAGTTTTTGTTGAGAGTGTATTTTGTGTGAGACTGAACAACACATTAGGAGATGCAGAGAATCAGAGAAAATCACCACCTCAAAGCATGAAAGAAACCTAACTAATGGTCTCACCCGGTTCTCTTATTTGGAAAGCGAGTAAACTGAGACCCAAAGGGGAAATTGACTCACCAGTCCATGCAGTTGATCAGCAGCACAAACGAGGTCAGAATATAATTCCTGGATGTCTGTTAAAAAACCAATAATCACCCCCCAAATGTATGATCAAACCAAGGTGCCTACCTTTCCTGTAGCCTAGTCCCGTGTGCAATGGCTGGTGAGCCAGGTCAGCTCTCGGGAGCTCTCGGCCAGAACTTCCTGCTGGCTGTTCCTGCCAGAATGATGTTGCTGCTTTGCTCTCCAGCCTTTGAGATTTCCTGCCCCTTTCTCAGAGTAATATTTATGATTACACAAGAGTCTGGCTGTACTTATACATAGTTGATATATTAAAATACCTCTGCTTCCTCTTTCTGAATTTTAAGGTCTGGAAAGTGATACAAATGAGAAGTAACATGCAAGAAAAAGAGCTTATGAGGACTAGTGAGTTGCATGGCTCCATTTGGAATTCATTTCCCACCTTCCTATTAGTCATTCAACTAGTTCCTTTTAGCCTGAATTTTCTTACCTACTAGATGGGGATGGATAATAAGAATTCCACTATATGGCTGTTCAGGGAGTTAAAAAGAAAGGATGTAAAGCGCTAATGAAAAGTAGGCACTCAATAACTAGTGATAATAGTGATGTTAATTTTGAATTTGGAAGAATTTATTTTCCCATTTCCCAAGCTCTTGACAAACTGAGAGCAACCTAACTGGAGCTGCCTTTTGACCCAGCGATCCCATTTCTATGTATATATCCAAAGAAACCCAAAACACGAATTCGAAAGAAAATAACGTGTGCACCCTTATGTTCATTGCAGTGTTATTTACAATAGCCAGGATCTGGAAGCAGCCCTAGTGCCCATCAGTAGATGAGTGGATGAGAATGTGCTGGCACATGTATACAATGGATTACTACTTGTTCATGCTGTCCTTCATGCAAAAGTGTTTTACTGCTTGTACTCTGACAATAAGAATAAAGAAGATTCTAGGGAATCTATGCACAAATTGAGTGGATGTGATTTACTTGTTAATAGGACACCTCCTTTTGAAAAATTAGCAATTAACATATTCAAACCTCATTGTGCAGTTATAAAAATAAAGATTTTTTTCTAAAAAAAAAGGAGGCAAAACCTTACCAGTTCTATCCTCTATAATCTCAATATTCTTGAAAAATATTAATTTTAACAATATGTATATTTAAATACATTAGTATTTAATATTGTTAGGTGACAATATTATTTAGAACATTGCTGTTCACTTTTAAAATATAAGACACATTTTATCAAACATATGACGATGGTTTTCCTCTAGATTGCTTTTCCCCTCTCATTTCCATGCTATGAGGAACAAAACTGTTGACTATAGCAGAAAAACTGAAGTGTGGCAATTGCTGATCATTGTATCTATGAACTTTAAATTATTTTAAAATGGTTGTGTTAATAAAGATTTTTAATTATTTTCTTCTGTTTAATGTTAGTACACTCTGATAGCAGTCCACTATTCACATAAATTGTGATACTTGTCTGAATGTGAGCCCATTTTTATTAAGGCTTCAGTATTACATCCCAATTTAGTTTAACACAAAGCTTACATTCACACAGCACTAAATGGTTAGTGTGAATGATGATCATTTATCTGATTAAGAAGACATGTAAGGAATTTTAGGAATTTTAGGAAGCTTCAATTAATTTGATTTCAAACCTTAGTCATATAATTATCAAAGTTCCCAAACACAAAAATACTGGCAGGTTCTTTATTCTTGATAAACCTGGGGAAAGGACAGATAACTGTCTTTAAAATTGAATTTAACTGAGTAATCTGTTCCAAGAATTTGCCATAATTAGAAGAGTTAAGTAAATTTTGCACATAAGTTTCTAAACCAAGTACTATGAACACTTGTAAACTGTGTTATCATCTGTTAAAAAGTAGCTTAATACAAAAGGATCTCTTAAAATGGGCCTGAAACCAATGTACATTTCTGTTTCTTATCTTCACCAGATCATTGTCTACTTCCCTTAGCAAAAACGACATTGTTCCTTTTTTGTGCATTTTGTTTTTTCCTTTTTCCTCTGAGAGACCCTGATACTTATTATTCTAAATTTTTACAAACTCTAAGAAGGCTCTAGAAATCAATAGGGTTTTATTAAATTTGAGAGACTTTATAATAAAGTTAATTTCCCTCTACAGGTAGGTAAAAATGTCTTTACTCTTTTTTAGCAGTGTTTATTCCACCAGGGATAATTCTTATACCACTAAGTGGAAAAACATTAATAGATAATAGGTTTTATTTCTTTAATTCTTTGCAGCTCAGCTGACTCTCCACAGCACTGGAGAGCTTCTCCTACCCACACGTCTTCACAGGAGACAACAGGGCATTCTGGTGGCACTAAGTGGATTCTCCCTTCATGTGAAAGGGGACCTATGGTTTTGAACTGGAAGTTTTGGAAATATGCACATACGATAAAGTCACACATCTGATTATTCTCCACTTTTTATGTTGAGCGAACAAATAGGAAGCCGTCTAGTTGAGGGCTAAAGAATCTACGTGGGCCGATGTGACCAATGTAGACATGAGAAGCCACAGAGACCAGTAGAACCAAAAAGACATAAAAAATACAGACACAGATATACATGGAAAATAATCCCCTCACCCACCCCCCAAATACAACACAAATAATACTGTTGCCAGAATTTGATTATTCACACAGCTGATAACTGTACAAGCTAGAAATTGAATCCTGTTCTTCATCTTCAAAGCCCATTGCATTTTCCATACATGAAAATTTCACGAAAACAAACCCAACAGTCCCTCGTCCTGGAATAGGCAATCTGCTAGCTAAGTCTGTGGTCTCCCTCACAACTGCATTTGTAGATAAGTAATTGCCTACATCTGTGATCTACTTACGTCCTGAGTCTCCTTGAGATATTTTGATGAAGTTACAGGTAAAAGCATTTATGAGACCCTGAGAATCCAAACTAGTGCAATGCTATCACTCTCACCTTCAAGAACTAGCCCATTTTGGCATTACTGATACATGTTCCCTTATTAGCTAGTCTTGCTTCCTGAGAACACTAACAATAAATGGAAGAGAAGAGGTGACATGGAGCCTTGTAGGCAATACACCAGGTAAGAAACAACGCTGGCCATGGAGTTAGGTGCTCTGGATCTGAATCAAAACTCCAGGCAGCCCAGCTCCCCCACCTGCTTAATGCTAGGGATGAACAAAACCAGACACTCTCTAAGGCCATTCCAACTATAACATTAAATAATGGTGTGTCCCAAAGTGTTGGAAGAGGTACACGAGGTAATTATTAGTGAAGACCATTTTGAAACTTGCTTTATTACAACATCATGAGGTTTATTTTCTCATTTACACAAACTATATTTATTCTTTCTAGAGATGCCCATGTTAGCCTATCAAATAGACTGTATTTAATTCTATACCACAAATTCTTCATCACCAAAGCTTAGGAAATTAGAGTTCTCCAAGAAGTCGGGGGAGGCCGGGTGGAGTTAATAAAGAAGTTTTATGACATCATCAGAGTTTTGTGCTCCTTTGTCTTTCTGCTCAGCTAATCATAGTGGACTTTTGCCCTCATGGGAGCTGTACGGTAGCAAGTGGGACACTTCACCTTCATCTTTCCATTCGCCTTCCCTGTAGGAAGGAGAAGAAAGATATGGAGAGAAGGAGTGATACCAAAATAAGGAATTGACACATTCACAAGAATCTCCCAGCAAAATCCCTGTGAGGACTCACTGTCCAGAGCCATGTCACACTGCCATTTCCATCCACAAGGAACACTGGAGAATATCGCCTCTCAGCTGTGCATGGTGCTATTACTGAATACAGTCACCATTGTTTTGTAAGGAAGACAGGAGGCCAGATAGTGAAGAGGCAAATTATCTGCTTACAGTTAGTGTTGAATTTGCATGATAATTTCTTAGTGAGTTGGGTTCTTTGCATACTTCAAGTAGACTGATTATTGAGTTCATTTGTAGATTTAGCTGCAAATATTTGAAAAAATTATGAAATAACACATTTAAGATTATTTCTTCCTAAGTATTTTCTTGAACCAGACAGTGAATGGATATAGAACTATTTTACCATCGCTTTTCAGATATTATTCAAGTACATTTGGAAGAAGTTTATATTTTATCTTTAAACCCCACACATACAGTCCCTAAATTATATCAAATGTTAATGGTATTTTTTAAAAAACAAGATTTGTTCACCAATTTTTCCCTATAATTTTAGCTAGCAATTAATATTGAGTGTAAAAGGTAACTATTTCTAGGAAGTAAAGCTGAGTGTTGTGTCTCATTACAGCCAATCCAACCCACTAAATCTGATGAATGATTATAAACTTTGGACAACAGGACTTGTTTTAAACAATTCATTTTTCCACCCAGAGTGCTGGTTGTCAGTCTTCAGTTTGCACAACTGGTAGAAAGAGTCCTGACTTTCCTCCCCAGTAAGTACTTAGGGAATTTCCTCTCTGAGATTTGCTTACTGGGCATGTATTTAAAAACATAAACTCAGCTTTATTTATTTATTCATTTTTGGAAAGCCCCATTGATGTTTATTTTACTCTGACATGTGTCAAATCATATCATGTAATGGAATTAAAATCTTCTGAACCTTCTGAATCAATACACGTGTGATTTGAGATTCTTAATATCGGTTCAATTTTTTAGAAGTTATCATCAATATGAAATGTCATCTTCATTTTAAATAAGGGGTATTCAGATAAAATTTCTTCATCATTTAATTAATTATAGTCACATTAATTCTGATCATTAAGTAGTCAACTGAATTTATTGTTATATGTATTTACCTAAAATGTAACATTTTTTCATTTAAATTACATTTGTTTGTGGTTACCATTTATTGTAACAAATAATACTGCACAAAAACATGCAGTGATGACATTTTATTTTTAAATGCATTTATTTAAGTACAAACAGTGGGTTAGTTAAAATAAGTAAGTAATTTTACAATTGGTTTGCAGTTATGGTTCTTTAATTATAGAATTTGAGTAGAGTACTTTAAACATCCTTGTTCTTTTTTCTATTAGAGTTAATAGTGAATGTTATTTTATATTAGCTTCAAGTGTACAGCATAGTGGTTAGACAATTGTATAATCTACCAAGTGATTTCCCCCAATATTTCTAGTACCTGCATGGTACCGTACATAGTTACACAATATTATTGACTATATTATTCACACTGTACCTTACATCCCCATGACTATTCTGTAACTACCAATTTGTACTTCTTAATCCCTTCACCTTTTCCACCCAGCCCCCAAACCACACCCCTCTGGCATCCAACAGTTTGTTCCCTGCATCTATGAGTCTGTTTCTGTTTTGTTTGTTTGTTAATTCTGTTCTTTAGATTCCATATACAAGTGAAATCATATGGTGTCTTTCTCTGACTTATTTCACTTAGCATAATATCCTCTAGGTCCATCCATGTTGTTGCAAATGGTAAGATTTTATTCTTTTTTAGGGCCAAGTAATATTTCATTGTATATCTGTACCACCACTTTTTTATCCACTTGTCTACTGATGGGCACTTGAGTTGCTTGCTTATCTTCAGTATTGTAAATAACACTGCAGTGAACATAGGGGTGCATACATCTCTTTGAATTAGTGTTTTGTGTTTCTTGGGATATATTCCCAGAAGTGGAATTGCTGGGTCATAAGGCAGTTCCATATTTTAATTTTCTGAGGAAACTCCAGACTGCCTTCCCACCAACAGTGCATAAGGATTGTGTTTTCTCCACATTCTCATCAACACCTATTGTTGATTTATTGACGGCAGCTTTCCTGACAGATGTGAGATGATATCTCATTGTGGTTTTAATGTGTATTTCTCTGATGATTAGTGACACTATTCATCCTTTCATGTCTATCGGCCATCTGTATATCCTCTTTGGAGAAGTGTCTATTCAGGTTCTCTGCCCATTTTTTAATTGGAGTTTGTTTGTTTGTTTTGTTGAGTTGAATGAGTACTTTATAAATTTTGGACATTAACGCTTTATCAGATGTATCATTGGCCAATTCTTCTTTAAGGAGAATCACATGGTGTTAAGGAATTTAATAGTTCAGTTCCTAAAGCATGAATATATGCAATATGGAGAACCCAAAAATAATATGGTACTTTTTCTCCTATTTAGATTTTCAAAATCTTTGTGCCGTGTAGTTAAATAAGCAGGACTCACAGAGAAAAAAAACAACCCTACTCTTTCCCCAACAACTGTGTGCCTAGTTCCCCTCAGCTTCTAATTCAAAATCTAAGATAAATTACTGACAGTGAGTGAAGAGTTCTCCAGTCACTTCAGTAATTAAAATATAGTCTTATGCAAGAATCAAACTCAGCTGTCATTTACAGTGAAAATGTTTTCTTTTCCTCAGTTTCGGTCTACTTCAGACAAGACACTTGTCTAAAATGGGAAGAAGGGAAGAATGTTCTTCTTTTTCTCTGGCTGGCTTGCTGAAAGGGATTTCTGATTCTTGCTGAGCCAAGGATAGGAATAAGAAATGCTGAGGAGCAGAAAATTTCTTCCTTCATTGGTACTTTCCCAACTTGATGTCAGGCTAGTGAGGGTTGAGTGCCCGCCCAGTGGTTCTATCACCGGGATTCATTGGCATGGTGCCCTCAGAATTCTAATGCTCTTACTCAGCTAGTTGCCCATGGTTTCTCCTTTGTCCCATCCCTGAGGGTCCAGCAAAAATATCCAGCCTCAAGTTCTCCTTGCTTCCACCTGGTGTCCATTTGGAGCAAGCTGTGAAGACCACACAGCCAGAAGTCTCTTTGACATGGTTTGCAGTAGGAGAGATCAACCCAATACCACCTACCCTTCCTGCATAGTTATAGCGGACAGACTCTAGGATGCCTCTAATGATTCCTGACCCCTGGCACTCACTCATGTCTTGTGTGATTGCTTCCCCTGGGTATAGACAAGATCTGTGCCTTGCTGTTTTTAAATGATTTTATTTATTTATTTTTAGAGAGTGGGGAAAGGAGGGAGAAAGAGAAGTAGGAAACATCAAGATGTGGTTGCCTCTCACGTGCCCCCTACTGGGGACCTGGCCCACAACCCAGGCATGTGCCCTGACTGGGAATCAAACCGGTGACCCTTTGGTTCACAGGCCACTGCTCAATCCATGAGACACACCAGCCAGGGCTGTGACTTGCTTTAATAGGATACAGCAAAGGTGGCAGGATGTATGATTTTATGTGTATGTGATTACATGATTGCATTGCAGAAGGTTGTAGCATCTGTGTCTTTCTCTTCCTTGCTGGCTTTGAGGAAGTAGGCAGCTCTATTAAGAAGGCTATGTTTCAAGGAACTGTGAACAGCTTTTAGGAATTGAGAGTGGCCTCTAGCCAACAGCCTGCACAGACCTCCAGTAAACACCAGCAAGAAAATTGGTGGAAAGGCAGTCTGGTGCAGCCACTGTGGAAAACAGTATGGAGTTTCCTCAAAAAATTAAAAACGGAACTGTCTTTTGACCCAGCAATTCCACTTCTGGGAATATATCTGAAGAATCCTGAAACATTGATATGAAAGATACGTGAAGTCTATCCAGAAAAAGTCCAACCATCGTCAATGTAATGAGAATGGCTGGCGTGACCTCAATGTAGTCTGGAATCCAAGGAGAGTGTACTGGAATGTGCATGCATGAACAATGGTGACTCCATTATACTAGTCAGTGGGGTGGTAAGACACCATTGAGTAAGCACGTGTACTGTGTGGCCATCACATTCAAAATGACTGAGCAAGTAGAGCAACAAATCTGCAGTAGATTTTGCATTAAACTTGAACGTTCCTCTACAGAAACTATTCAGATGATTGAGAAGATTTTGGGGATGATGCAATGAGTGTGGCATAAATGCTTCAAAGGTGGTTGAGAATCTTTTGAAAGTGATCCACATTCTGGAAGGCCTGCAGCAAACAGAACACCTGAGAATATAGAATGTGTACAGGCTACAATCAACAAAGATCAGCGACTGACAGTGTGAGAACTAGAAGCTGACCTGGGGATTCCAAAAACTACTGTGTCCAAGATGCTGATGCAGGATCTTGGCATGAAACATGTCGTGGCAAAATTTGTTCTGCAGCTTCTGCTACCAGAGCAGAAGGAACATCATGTTGCAGTTGAGGGAACTGAGTAAGGTCCCAAGGTACCTACTTTGAAAGAGACTGAGACATCATTGTCCTGCGTTCAATTTTTCTTGTATCTTGTGTCTTCTTCAATAAATGTCTCTACTTTTCATATTACTTGGCTGGATACTTTCCAGGCAGACCTTGTTGTATATTAAGTTGAACCCGTGTGCAGCCTGAAAAACTATTACATTTAGTTTCTTATAGAGTGTGCTTTTCCTCCTTCTGAGTGACAAGAATAAATTTGGCATGCCTGTAAAGGCGATTTTTAACCCTGGATGTGAAGAACTATTGCCTTCTTAGTGGGAAAGGGGGAAATATTTATCAGATATTTGGTCTTTATGATAATATATGAAGACCAACCAAAGAATCCCAACCTAAGAAAGGTAAGTTTGAGATCCCTGAAATGTAGATTTTTATGTAATGAATATTTTTAAATGGTATTTTTCTCTTGGTATTGAATATATGTGCTCAGTGGTGGATGGGGGTGGTCTCTTGATTGGCCAGATATTGGCTTCAGGAAAAACACAGAACTACAAATTGCCATTGACTAGATATTTCCCATAAAATTAGGCAGAATGGTGATTCTTTCAGTAGATAAGGTTGAAGTAAAGGAGACAACTTTCTCTTGTACCCATTCATTGATGACAGGTATTCACTGATTTACTGTGGTGTTCAGACTCTTTCCCAGCAGGACTGTGAAAAAGTACAGTGTCTGATCACACATACTTCACCCATTAGTACATGCAGACAAGCCCCTACAATTAAGTCTTGGAAACTATGTGATTGCCTTTGAAATAAAATTTTTACTTGATTGTTATGATGTATGTTTTTTAACAATACCAAGCAATTAATTCTGACACTATCTACCTGGATACAGTGTCAAATATCACAGATTAAGGGTTCAATCTTGCAAGACTCCCCCTACCCCTCCCCACTCCCCATCCCCCACACTTTGAACATCAATTGCAAGTCCAGGTGCTTCTAACCCATGGGGAGCTATAGATCGCAGGTTTCCAAGACCCCTTCTTCTCCACATTGTTCATTAAAACCCTATGCAGAGTTCCCAGATAGGAGCTGTTTAGGAGCCATAAATGAGCCCATTGACTCTCTGTGGAGTGAGCAATATTTCTCCAGTGGAGAGAAATACTCATGGAATGCAGGTGGCAACTACCAAAGACTCTCACACCCTTGGACAGCTAAATATACTTCAACATTCTAACTCAAGATGAAATAAAATATGGATATGGTACCCTATTTTATCACTGATTTTTGTGGGTAGAGCTTTATCTAATACAATAGGAATGATTCAGGAATTTTTACTTCTAAGATAATTTTCAGAAAGAATCTTTTAATTGGCTTTTGTCAAGAAAGTTCAGGACAAATGTTGTCATCCCAGATGTCTTGCTACACAGTGCAACAAAAAGCTCTGATTTCTATTGCCACCCCAACCACAAACCTGGCCATTGTGATTCTCACAAGCACAGGACATGGAAGCAAAAAGATCGGGTAGGAATCTTCTGTTCCAAATGGCTCATTTTTAGATGGAAAACCCGAGGTTCACAAAGGGAACAGACTGTCCCAAGTTCACAAATAAACTAGGGTCCAGACCAAGTTGTAAAATGGGACTAATGGTTCAGTGTCCTTTCAACTTCATCCCACCATTTGTAGACAAGAGATGGCTGACAATTGTTCTTACAACTGTTTTCTGTCTGTGGTGTTATTAATAGATTGTCCCATTTGATAAAGCATTGATTAAAAAAAGAAGAGGACTCTAGAAGCTGTTCTTGGTCCTTAGCATCATTGAATTGATGCTTCACTTCTAGTATTCTTCATGAGCCCCTCACCCTTATATACACACAAAGAGAGACAAGAAGCAAGGTAAATTGTCACAATTTATTGTATAAATACTAGTAGTTAATGCATCAAGGAGATCACAAGTACACTAACAATAAATTATAATACAATGCTTTGTGGGGTAAGGTCATGATGAAGCAAGAAATCAAGACTGGATGAATAGGTGTGCATTAGGCAATTTTCATGGAGAAGATGACCTTTCAGTTGAAATTTTTCAAAAGATAATTTGGAAGAATGAATGGGTAGAGAACATGGCAGTTATATGCTTAATGTATACCTGAAGTGGGTACATGATAAAAGACAGGCAGAGACAGGACAACTATCAGAATGGTCTTGAGACAAAAATTATGTTGTGGACATAGAAAATGTAGTCAACAGTGTGGTTAAAAAAATGAATCAAGCAGGAGAAAGAGTGGTGTAAAATATTATACAATTGTAATGATAGACTGGATCCATTTCAAGAGTTCCTGATAGACCAGGCTTTGTGTTTTAATGTGAATGCCTATACCATGGATGTGATATGATAAATACTTATAAGTCATCAAAAATGGAGATACAGCATAGCAAGTACACAGTGAAAGAGTACATTTTTATTCTGCTATCAAATTTTGAGAAACAAAATTTTATTTCAGAAAAGTGAAAATAAAAACCTGAGGTCCTGAGGTTAGTTAGGCATACCAAGTCACTTAACTGCTTGTCGTGTGGCTATGTGATCACTTTTATAGTCTAGGAAATTAACATTTAATTGTCTCTCTTTAATTTTGGAATCCTAAATACATAAAATGTAATTAATCATTTTATTAATGGATTGTGAATAATACCCCAACATGATTTTCCAGTGCCTCTGCAGGATGCTTCTTCTCCTTAGGCTAAACATTTAAATTCTTTTTCCTTCTCTTAATAATAAAAACATTAACAGCAACAAAATTATTTTGCATATCTCTTTTTACTACTTTGTATTCACAACCTACTCTTCTAACACCACATATACCCCCATTCCCTCTCTCTGAATGCCTCTGTAAATGTTATTCATTTCCTCATCACCATGCTGTTTCAAACTTCTCTGTACCTTTGCATTCATTCACCATTGGTATTTTCACTGCCCCATCTCCATGCATTACCTGGAGTTGATTTATCACTGTAGACTTGCCCAAGCCTGCAGATTCTGTCTCTGATGGTTACCTTTTTCCCTTCTTTGTTTAATCGCTTTCCACTTTGGGCTACCTGCTGTCTACTATTTCACAATGCACTTTTCTGAATAATTCTTCTATCTTCCACCCTAGGTTATTTTTTCCTTCTACTTTCCCTCTGGTTATAGGCATGCAAAGGTTAACTTGGCTTCACTTTAATCTCAAAATAGTTCTCTTCCAGTGTTAATCTGCTTCACTGAATAATGAGCTCTCCTACAATAACACAAATCTCTATCACCACATTTCATCTTTACCAGAGTGCTGGAGTAAATGCTGTCCAGTTGCACTGCTTTTGGTCTCATAAAAATGACCATCTAAAACCAACCTTCATTTAGGTCTGTCTACAATACTCCCCATTAATCCATATTTCTGACTCCCTATCATTTCTTTCAACATTTCCAGGTTTTCTCCTTTGATCTTACGCTCAAACACTTAATGTGTTACCTAAACAATTGCATGCCTAAATTTATCCTTTTGTTCAACTTGTTAACAAGAAGACTGATTAGTGTTTCTATGTTTTAGATATGACCATTTCTTTCCATGCCCATTGACTTCATTTTAGCTAAACTTTTCATTAATGTATTCCTCTTTCATTTCAAATTCCTCCTTAAATGATCTTTCTTCTTATGGTTTTCATCTCACCAGATACTAAGTAACTTAATTACACTCCCCACTGCCCACTCATCAATCTGCAAAGTGTATTGAATATTGTATCAGTGAATGTACTGATGACTCAGGCAATATACAGATCTTTATATGACTTTGAGTCTTTAGGAAAGAATGTATTGTCATTAATGAAAAGTAAAATATTTGCATTTAAAAAGTTATATATGGTGTAAGTTATATGTGGTTGTGTATATATTTGGTTTGAAAAAGTAATCATCCTGAGAGAGGAGCAATGTTGGCTAGAATATCTTAAAGAATTAGGTGGTATTAAAGAGAGGCATTAAAGAAAGAAAAAAATCAAGCAAGTACAGAAGAGAGGGCAGAAAATTTCAAGCCAGAGTGCTGATATGAGGTGGTCAAGCACAAAGCATATTAAAGAAAAAGTTGAATGGGAACAGAGAGTAAGGCTTCCAAAGTTAAGATAAAATGGATTTAAGTTTTATATAATTGGTGATTACTAAGATTTAGAGATTGCTTATATGTATACATAAATTAAATAATTTATAGAATCTCTTACAGAGCACTTTTAATTTATGGCACATATATGTATGTATGTGTGTCTCCAAAATAGACCTTTAGTGATGGCAGGTAAATTATTCCTCTTATCTTAATTTTATAGATGAGGAAACCCATACTGAGTAACTGGCTAAATTATTTGCCACAACTCACTCAACTAATAAGCAATAGGCCTGGGATTACAACACAAACTTCCTACATTGTATAAAATTGGTAATCCTTCTAACATACTATGTTGTTTTCTCCATAGAATAAGATCATAGAATAAGATCAAACATAAGCAGGAAGCCTTCATCGCTAATTTGATATGAATCCACCAAAATATTTAATACATGCTTGCAGAATCTCTATTCAAATCTCTGAGTATCCTCCTAACACTGTTCTTAAATTTGCCAATTTGATCTTATCACGTCCAAATTCACTTCAGAATCATCCCTTTCTCCTTGTCTACTCTATCTCTGGCCTGGCCTGGTAGGCTATCATTCCTGAATCTCTACCCATTTACTCCATAAATACACTGAGCACCAACTCTGAGTGAAATACTGAGATATACAATGTGAAAGAGGCAAGTGTGAAAAACTTCAAACACTTAATTAGTTCTCAAGAAATGTTTGATGAATGGTGCTTACAATCTAGTGGGAGACATGTACCATGCCCATCACTTTTGGGAATGCTAAAAAGGGTTGAGAACCAAACATCAAACTTTTAAAGTTTAACTCAATTTCAGCCAGCCTTCCTCTTATTTTTCCTATTTGCACATTTATGGGCACAGAGTAAATGCTTATTGCATGTTGATTTCCCAGAAGAGATGGGTGTAAAATAGCAATAGAAAACATGAAAAATGGAAGTCTATCATATACCTATGAATTGAGCAGTGGGGTACTTAGATGTGCAGAAACAACAGAAACAGAATATTATCATCTAGAGAACAAATCACAACGTAAAACTGGAGGATTATAGAGAGAAGCGAAATTTTGCCAGTAGCCTCTTAAACAAAGATCTTGGCTTTCTATACTCTTTGTTACAAATGAGAATGTTCTGAACATGATCCTTATGAATCAGTGGGAGAGGTCTCCTCTTTGGCTTCCAACTCACTATAAATTGGTGAATATATATTTAATTCCTCATAAAGACGTTCTTCTTGAACCTGGTAAGGGAAAAATTATTCAATATCAATAACCAAGAATGTTCCACCACTAGAAGACTTGTTCAAGAAATGTAGATGATCTCCTTTGGTCTCTGAATCGCACATTCTTTCCCATTACACTCTTATTATTCCCTCCATCTTCAAAAAACCAAGCCAGACTGGCTGGCTGTGGGCCCAAATAAATTATGTCAGCCAATGATAAGTTGGTGAGTGTATCTGAACTTTGGCACATCTGCTGCCTTGTTTATCTTTGGAGGATAGTGATCAAAACAGGCACCCACACTTGAATGCTTCAGGCAGGTGGACAGATGTAAAGAGTGTGTTTCATCTGGAAGATCTGAGAAAGTGTAAGTGCCTCAAGGATTGATAATTCTTTTAATAAATTAAAGGTGCAATGGATGGGTAAGGCAAGTGGAAATGTAGGTGGTAGTTGTGAATTAAAAAGAAAAAAAAATCTGAGGCTTCAGAGCAAGTATGAAGGTAAAAGCCAAGAGGGTGAAATCTGTTCTAGGATAGAAAATAAGCCCAGGTATCTGTGTGGTTCCATCACATGCTACCTGCTCATTCATCTCATGCCCAACACTTTTCAAAACATTTGCATTTTCTAAAATGATGAAGGTTCTATTGTCCTAACCCTCAGTCACAGAGATATTCTGCTATTGTGCTACTTATGAGTGGGAAATGTGCTTTAAAACATGAGATTTGGCCACCAAAACACTGAAACTTGGAGAAATATTTTTCTGGAAGAAATGTTCCAGGATACCTAGGCCATATGTCAGCAAGTAAGCTCAAAGTCTTTAGCCTGTCATTCAGGATTTAGTATCAGATCTCTGCCTACCTTATCTTCTTTGAGTAATTCCCCAACTCTGTAGACTATGAGTAACACAGCAGCACCAAATCCCAGAATGGTGACGAACATGATCATTGCCACAATTTCCTGTTGAACAACAACCAACAACAACCAAAAAGACAAGTAGCATCACAAGGTAGATTTCTCAAGGTGCTCTCCCTTATATCACCCACCCCCACATGATCAGTCCCTATAAAGCAACACACACATGCGCGCGCGTGCACGCACACACACACGGAGAGAGAGAGAGAAAACCAGGGGATGGTTACTCAAGGCAGATGATTCCAACCTTGCAGAATTGAGCTGGGGGTAGGAGGAAGAGGTCATCTGCATCTCTGTGCATGAGCCTATAGAATACCACATTATGTGATAGAGGTTGCAAAAAAAGGGGGGTTGTGTTCATGGAAAAGGAAATGAGGGTTTCTTACTTAGATTAGGACTGAAGAAACACTTACAGTGGAAAAAAAAACTGTGAAGCAGAAGTCATCCTGAAAAGCTTCCCAGCAAATATTGTGATAAGCCATTGTGTTCTGTAGGTTTTTGATGAGAAGAAAGATTCCTGCTCCTGCAGCTAGGCAGCTGACCAGGTTTGCTCCCAGGCTTCCATGCACCTGATAATGAAGAATACTTAGAGCCACTCCTGCACCTGCCAGCACATTCAGTCAACCCATCGGCATGTCAGGGCTGGGTATATCTAGTAAACTCTACATTTATACAAAATATAGATTAAAAAGGGAAATCTTGAAAATGCATTTATTTAATAAAGATCTATAACTTTCTTGCTGGGATCACATTCAGGAAGACTCACACAGAGTCTCTCCTCAAATAGTCTCCTTAACTGAAAAAAATCATTTGACCATATGCCTATCCTTATAAGGATAAGGCTGGTGTGAGGATATTTCTAAACAAGTGTAAAGGTAATTACATTTTATTGTTTTGAAATGACACAAGTGATATTTTAATGATTATATTCAACACAAAATAGACTAAAGAATAATCACATTATCTCATAACATAAGAGATGATGACATACCTCCCTCAAGACTCCTAAAATTTGACTTTTCTTACCTTTTCAAGTATTACCTATTCAAGTATGAGACAAAATAGTGACTCACCAGATATGTTGCATTTTTCTTTTCAGACATAACTGACAAAAATCCAGAAATAGCAAACTGTCCAAAGGAAGGAAGGGTAAAAACAATGAGTCTCTGATCTCTCTGTCCCTTTCACCTCCCCTTCTCCAAATATAAGGTCAAGTTGTGAGTCCTCTATAAAGTTAACCTTTCAGGTTTTCTATGAGCTCACTGTTTTCTTATTCTTATTTTCTGTAGAGTGCTTCTCAAAAGTAAATGTGCACATGAATTATGAGGGTTTTGTTAAAATGCAGATTGTTTTTAGTAGGTCCTGAATGGGACTTGAGATTATTCTGTTCTACCAGGCCTCTCAGGTGATGCTAACACTGACAGGCCACAAGTCACTTTAAGAGCAGCAAGAGCAGCAGCACCTGGGGCATGATTCTGCTGTAACACTACTCTCCTTGCCTTGAAACTGTTTGTATGAGCACCCTGTATGTTAGGCTGTCAGCTCCTTTGTGCAACAAATGTGTTTGTGACATGTATATCTCTAGAGACTAAGCTATATCATGTGGACATTTAGTAATTATGAGAATGTACATGGTAAAAATATAAATCAATAGCATACATTCAAAACCATTTTAAAGATTGCATGAGGAGTTGAGAGACACAAATAAGCTAAGTGTTTAGAATTGAAAGACAGCAGAGAGAAGTTTCAAATAAAATACGACCAAGGTTCAAGAAGACTCCTGATCTAGTCCTAAGTCTTTAGCAGAGTGCCAAACCAATGTGCTTGCTTTTTTCAGACTTGAAATATATCCTGAGAATGACATGGAGATACAAAAATAGCATGGATTAATTGAAAATAATTATTCTGAGTGAAAGAAGCCAAACAATGGGGAACATGTTGTAAAATTTTATTTATATTAAACTCTAGAAAATGCAAACTAATCTATGGTGACAGAAAGCAGACCAGTGATTGCTTGAGGATGGGAAGACAGGGAATATAGGGAAGGAGGGATTACCAAGGGGCACAAGGAAACATTTGGATGTTTATTACATTAATGTGATAATGTTTTTATGTGTTTCTACATGGATCAAAATTTATCAAATCACACACTTTAAATATATGCAATGCATTGTATATCAATTATATCTCAGTAAAGCTATATATCTTTATAATCTCATTCAGTCATATAGTTTTCTAAACAGTATAATGATTAAAACAGATTCTATGAGAAAGCACCTGAAAAAGTTCATAGGGCATGAGAAAAGGTCATCAAATGACTTTGACCTTGTTTTCCTCACATCAGTAGTCTCTTCCCCCTTCCCTTCACTAAAATAACTTTATTGATGAATAGAGTTAGACACATTTTTCTAAAATTATATTCTGAAAGTTTAGGTTCTATTTTTATTGGATAAAGATCCCTTGAGCAATTCATTTAACTTGTATCAGTCTCAGGTCTCTCATCTGATAAAAGTGTGCTAACATGTTTAACATAAGGTGATTTATAAACTGCAAACATATTTTATACAAACATATGCAAATGTATAATATAAATATATTACTATGTATAATATGAATGCTAGAAATAGACAGTTGGGTAGATCTGATCTGGTAAGAGAAGAGCTACATGCAGTGTTATTTCAGAGACAACTATAGATACACATATACTCACAAGTACTGCTCCCCAGAATGGATAGCCTATTTGAAATGATGAAAAAAATTTTTTCTCGAATTCTGAAATTGTGATCCCAGGGTAGACAATTGTCCCAAAATAAAGACATATGAAACCAATCAGAATTTGTGTTACCTGTAGAAAAAGGCAGACATTTTGTGAAATAACAAGATATTTTCCCAAGATTGCATAAATTTCATTATAATTGAGACCAAATGTGAGAAATTGCTTTGGTGTCTTAGGCTGTCCTGAGAAAGGATCCAAATTTGATATTTCCCAGTATCTTCTGACACTAAGAACTGATACAGGCATGACCTAATGCAGGAATGACCAATGTATTTCCCATGTCCCTTTACTTAGGTAGTCACGGTGAACATCAATATTTGTCCTTTCCATCTAAGTGAAGATAAAGATTCGAAATCCCTCACAGCAAGATATTACATTAATCCACTAGCAGCTGGCCAGAGTTGGCAGGTCCTATTTGTCATTTTCATTCTAATCTCCATGAGGAAATGCTTCTTTCCACCCAACAGGGCCCAGTTGGTATCAAGTCTTCATCTACTGGGTTTGTTGACTCCTTACAAATACAAGTGGGCAAACTGTTGATGCAACCAAATACTCTTTCCTAGAGTCAGTCTTTATTTTAATTGAGGTTGGAGAAGGCTCACTTACCCCCAGGAATTCCACCTCCCTCTTTAGAAATATCAGCCATGTCTTGCGTGATAATGAGATATCCTTCTCCAGTAGGATGTTGCCAGAGAAAGGTGCTTCTAAAAGCTCAATTTCAGGCCCTCTGTGAAGTTTAAACAGAAATTCAATCATGAGAAAACTTTCTAACTTCCTGTGCAAAGTTCTAGATTCACAAAAAGGGAAGTTTTGATGGTGTATTTTTCAAAACAATCTTCCAATTAAAGTCTTTATTGAAATTAATAAAAAGCTGAGGCTCAAAGTGTCCAAGTCACTGGCCAAGATCACCATCTAATCAGTGATTAAAGGAGATGAAATGGAATGAAAACTGTGCCAAGTCTTCTTATTAATCCAAGAACTAATCCAAGTTCTTTTCCATTAATCTATACTGGTGAGTGAAAATAAAAATGATCACACAGGTTTACCTGTGTATTTCTCAGTCCTTTTAATATAGAAATGTGTCTGGATTTATTTTGTCACTGACATACCCAATTTCATGTGCACAAAGAAATGGCTTTGAAGGGTTAGTTGAATCTCCAATCCTCCTGTTTTCATCCTCAGAAGAGATAACTGGAAATACTCTTTCTTCTAAAGATTTGGAATATACTTAACATTTTGCAATAATATTCAATCTGACATTGATTCACAAAGTGCTGTTTTCAGCCTCTCCTAAAACTGTTCAGAGAAAGTCTTAACATGTGTTCATGTTAGGCATTCAAAGGAAAACTACATTATCCACCTCTACTGGCCTTCCCTCCAAGACATTTCCCCTCTAAACAGTGGGGCAGAATCCCACAGCTTGAGGCTCACAAAGACCAACAAAGAAGGAACCCAGGATCATTTTTAAAGGCATCTGTCCCTTAGTACACATCAGACACAGAGGCAAGAGATCTATATTGAGAGTACAAACTCCCCTCCTCATACCTAGAATGTGACCTTCTTTTGTTAGAAAACTTAAGTTATTCCCAGTTCACAAGCTAAGCAAAAAACCTTCCTCCCCATAAACCAGACAGAACTACTGGTAAAGTATAGCAAATAGCTTCCTTACACTCAACATATTATCAACATATTAAATAAACCAAATGGGTCCATGACTGAGCCCATGAACTGACACTTCCCCAGCACTGTGACTATCTCTGGCCCCCTCACTGAGCATAGAAAAAAAATAATAGCCTATGCCTACCTGGTGGGCTCTTGTGGGTTGGGGAGAGCAAGAGTTGCTCTGCTTCTATGTTCCGTGTCCATTTTTTTAAATTAACTGAGCTATGCAGCAATGAAAATTACTGTGAACAACAAGCCTGTGGGCTTCCTCTCAGGTCTGCTACGAGTGGGCAGTTAAGATAGATTGGCTCTTGACATTGATGACTATCTTCATAGTTAAGACACTTGTCAGGCAGATAAGTTTACTGGATGATTGAGATCAATAGGGTTTTTCTTGCTATGTTAAAGAGAAAAACTGAATAGTCTACTGAATAGGAACTAGTGTGAGACTCCTGGAGAAGAACTCTTCCTGAGACCAGCAGGATGTACAGACCCCAAAGACGGAACAGTTTAATGGAAGTTGAGAAGGTGAAGGGAAAAAACTGCAGAACAGAAAGGGATGTTATGCTCTTTTGGAATTCTCTCTACTTGTGTCCCAGTTTAGCTATTTCTACACCAGAAGTTCTCTAATTATACCTTTGAAAAGCCTATCTTCCCTACTTAATACATACTGAGATTCACGCATAATCTAAGGCTGAAGCACTTTTTGCAAGTAGGAATGTGTCTTAGTCTCTGAATCTCTGGATTCATCTCTGACTTCGATAGTTATTGTCTTTCTCTCTCTTCCTCTCTTTTGGACACAATTTACATGGCTCTCTGAAACAGATGCTCTCAGAAACTGGATAGGAAGAATTCTAACTACTGTGAGCCATTCCTGATGCATAGAGTGCTGAGACATTTTCACACCAAAGACTCCATTGCCTGCTAAATTATTAGACTGATGGTCTGTTGCTTTGATTTTTATGATGACAAGGATGGGACAGTGAAAACACTGAGGGGCATGAACTTGAACTTGATGGCAAATCCTATGAGTAGGTCTCAGTAGCATTGGACTGAGCCATATGCCACAGTTAAGGTTAGAACTTAACTGATGTGTTCATTCTGACTGTATAAGTAGCTAGACCATAGCAAAGTGAACTTACAGATGAGGTACACAGACTTAGGACACTTTAATTTGAGTTTAATTATAGACATAGTCTTGAATGCCTCTTCATTAAACTGTAAGATATTACAAATTGTACCACTAATTGTCTGGATTGTTTCTCTGGGATGTGATAAAAATCTTCATTCTTTGGGAAACTAAAATAATTATATGAACAAGAGAACATAAAAATTTATTAACCCACATGCCATCTTCCCACTGTGTCTTCAGGAATTGTTGGACCTGACCAATGTGTTATTGTAATTAAGAAACAAACCTTGCTCACTTATACATTCATCCAAAAAGGACTTAATGTACCATGTCAGGTACTGCTGGTATCACTGAGCATGCACAGATGGGAACCAGGGTCCCAGGCCTTGTCTAGCTCATAATCTAGCATCATGGGACAAAGATAAATGATATAATATTACCAGTATGTCAGAGGCTGCTGGAACATAAAAATAACACATTAATTCTACCTGAAAAGGGGTATGTAGAATTCAAGGAAGAAATTCCCAGAGAAAGGAATATTTGAGCCAGGATTTAAGATCATAGCCTCAGGAGATTTCTCTTTCTTACCTCTCCCTCAGAGAAATTATACCACCTCTGTTGGAAAAAGACCTGAATAAATGCCTGTTTATGAAGTTTTTTGGGAGTTTGTGGGCAGCAAATAATTAGAAATTAGACTTGAGATTTAGACAGGAAACCAATGGAGGATGGTCTTTGGTGTTTGGGTATAATGTTATTTTATGAGAATTTTCAATAGAAACTTGAAAAATGCAAACCAGAAACTGAGATGTATTTTATGATCTCCAAATTGTTTCATATCCCAGTTTTGACCAGCACCTTCTTCAAACCCTTTCTGAAATGCATATAATCTTCTGCATCCACACTGTGGGTCCTTGCAGCCATGCTCCATCATCTTTCACAACAGTGAACATTGAGACACATGACAAAATGGCCTTTTCTCTTGGTGGGGGCAAAATTATCAAGATGAGTTTTAATCACACATCTGCCTGAAAGGAAGAGATAATTGAACTAACATCTCTCTCCTACCACATACATTTCCTCCTTCTGACTACACATTTGCATCCGCTGTTCATCCATCTGCCCATCTGGCTTCCTCTTTGACAACCAAGGGTTTTTCCCCAAACTCAAAAGAAATTTTCTGTCATATTGCATCTGAACCATTTTTTTCTCAAACTGAATGCTCAAATTACTCAAAATAAATATGCATGAATTGCATGTTACACATTGAAAGTGCACTATTTCTTAAGAGGTATCTTCGGATACTCCCAGAGGAAAATTTCTCTCTCCTCTCTCTCTCTCTCTCTCTCTCTCTCTCTCTCTCTCTCTCTGTCCACCCTCCACAGGCAATTATGGGTTCAATAAATATGGTTCAGATGCCAAGGGTGAGAGAGGCTGAGATTGATACTAAACTCTGAATGCTCCACAGGAATGAAAAAAAATTGTTCACAGAACAAGACAGGTAGCCCCAATAAGCTTAGCACTGAGTCCAAACTTGAAGAGAATACCTTTGTCTTTTCATTTATATGACCTCAGAAATGCAAAGAGAAAGATTTATACAGACTACCCATTTGCTCCAAATCACTCTCTAATGTATGCCAAACTGCTAATATAGTACATGGCACATAGTAGGCACTCCCTAAAAGATTGTTGAATGTACTAAAAGAATAGTATATATACAAGATCTGTCTGTAAAAAGTCAAGGCATTGTTAACATGATGAGAACAATTTGCATGACATCAATATAACCTGACCGCCAAGAAGAATGTGCATGTGTGAACAATAATGCCTTCACTATACTATTCAGTGAGGGTGGTAGTCACCATTGAGTGAGCATGTGTACTATGTGACTGTGGCATTCAAAATGACTGAGCAAGTAGAGTGATGAATCTGAATAAAATTTTGCATTAAGCTTAATCATTCCTCCACAGAAACTATTTGGAGGAGTCAGAAGGCCGCAGCTGTGGGCAATTGTCATGATTGGCAGCATCATCACAACAATGCACCTGCTCATGCATCATACCTCAGAGTTTTTTGGCAAAATATAAAATTGCCCAGGTGACTCAGCCCTCTACAGCCCAGATTTGGCACCCTACAAGTTCTGGCTATTCCCAAAACTAAAATTACCTTTGAAAGGGAAAAGATTTCAGACCATTGATGAGATTCAGGAAAATACAACTGAGCAGCTGATGGTGGGCAATTGGGAGAAATGCGTGAGGTCCCAAGGTGCCTACTTTGAAGGAGACTGAGGTGTCATTGTCCTATGTACAATGTTTCTTGTATTTTGTATCTTCTTCAATAAATGTCTCTATTTTTCATATTACATGGCTGGATACCTTCTGGACAGACTATATATATATATACACACACACACACACACACACACACATATATATATACATATACACACATGTATATACACATGTATTCTGAAAAAGAATTAGTAGAGATTATAGAAAGATCTTTGCACATATGGTAAACATGTAGCTAAGAGTAACTCGTGGGTATGAACTTATGGACATTGTGAATAATGTCCATAAGTTCAGCATCAAGAGAGAAAAATTAATTTATAGATCAGAAATGTAAATAATTCAGCAGTTGATTTATAAATCAGGAACCATGTATCTCAGAGGAAAGAAAGCATTGAAGTTGCTGGAAGGTGAAGGGGGAGCCACAGTGGAAGAGTGAGGCTTTCTGCCATCTTTTCTGAACATCTGACCACAATCCCACCTCAGCCTCAACAGCAGCAAGACCAACAACAACAGCAAGATCATTGTCAAGGAGTGTGATGCTATTTCTCATTTGCTTTACTTTTATTTCGCCCTAATAAAAACTGTTAAAATACTGATACTCTTACACTTATTTTACAGATGAGGAAAAATAGGTCAGAGAGGTTAAATAACTTGCTCAAATTAACACAGGTTATGAGGGACAGTATCAGAATTTGTATGCATATCTGTGAGACTTTAAAGCCCTTATTCTCTATGTCTCTCTGGTTTGCAGTTCCTCACCATGCTTTGAAGAAAAAATATTGATCTTTCTCTCAAAGCCCTCAATCCATACCATTATTTTTGTATCAGGGTATGTGTGAATGCATCTCAGCAGCTAGTTGAAATAAAATCTTGAGGTTTGACCACCTTACATCAAATATAGATAAAATTTACCTTAATGATGATGCTAATTTTTCTCATTTGACCATTTTTGCAATGCTGATTGCAATGCTGATTGACTTAAAGTCAAGAAGCATTTTTCTGTAGTAATAAAAAAAATCTGACTTTTCTTTTCATTGGATAGATGGAGGTTGGATTTTAGACAGAATACATGAGATAGAGATTATTCTCTCTGTCTTTTTTAAACCTTATAAGGCCATGGCATAGTTAGGTAAGAAAAAAGAAAACCAGTTTCTGGCAACAACTTTGGAGTGGTGATCATAGAAGTTACAAAGCCAGGAATGCCTAAAGAAGCATGGAATTTATAATGAGAACAGAAAGGATTGAGTCAAGTGTCCAAGTTCCTCATGATTGGTGCCACGATAGTAGGAATGCGCTTCAAGGCTCATGTTCTTTTGAGTTCTTGGCAGGAACTCTAACTCATGGAGATTTGAGGTTGAATTTCCTTGTGCTCAAATTTACTTTAATGAGGATGTGATCCTGATTCCACAGAACTGAGGGTTGAGGAAGTTGCCTGAAAAATAAAACAACATCAATCTCCAAGAAGAGGCTCATCACCTGCCTCTCCTCCCATCCCTTTCTATTATCATCATGATCATCACCAATATTAATTCACTGAGTTTAATTTTACAGTTACCAAAAATCTAAAAGGAATTGGTGGTTTTTTCCCTGGGTATATAGCTAGAAAGTGACAAGTTACAAGAAAATAATATAATTTAATTCTTTCTGTACAAAAAAATGTGTGCTCTTAGTATGAATTGCACTCTTTCCTCTTGCATGTTTTACATCAGAATTCTTTTCCAGCCTTCATTCCATCTCTAACATTCGTACCATCTGTTACTCCAGGAACCCCACAAGCTGTTACTGGATAGATGTTATCTTTCTAATCTCAAGAGTCAGGGATGACCTCAAAGCCCAGAGGGAGGTGGCTGACCATGGAATTATTACTCATTTAAACAAACCCACCTCTCTTGAACTGAAGCAGTTTGCTTTGCACCATATGGCTGAGACAGAGAGGGCTACGCATAATTCCAGCAAGGTAAAGATCAACACTAAAAACACAAGGCCCAAACTAGGGGGAGAGTGGTAATGGGAGGGAAGTGGGGAGGGTTGGGAGGGTGGGCTGGATTGGGAGTAAAAGGGAGAAAAGAAAACTGTACTTGAACAATGATTAAAATAAAAAAAATTAAAAAAAAAACATAAGGCCCCAAGGGATACGCTGTCTCATATCAAACCCAGCAGAAACATTCAGAGAAAAAAATGTCAGCAGGAAATATTGTATTGTCAACAATATTTCCCTCCCACAGAATAGAACAAAGTAAACCGGAAGTTGGGTTTAATACACAGCCACATACTCACACTCTGTAAGAGATACAATATCAATCTGAAAATATGGAAATCTTCTTCCTGGAAAGAGAGAGATGTTGTATTTCTGTATCATGTGAAGTAGGCATGGGTGGAAGAAGCTACAGAGGCAAAATTCTGACCCAGTCACTAACATTTCCCAGTTGGAATAGCAGTAAATGAAGAAGGTGAGTAGAAAAAATTTTAAAAAATGGACAAATATCACACCTCCACAATTTCATTAATAGCACTTCATAAAGGTTTGGGCATTTACACTATTCCTAACAACTAAGATACTAAGCAAAAAGATTAAACAAAAAATGTACTAAATTAGTGATCCTTCTCTTATTGTTGAGGCATCTAGAAAAAAAACAAATACAAAATTGCACTGGAAGGAAAATACCATAAAATTCACAGAAAAATTGGACCCATATAAATATTAAATGAGTCATGAAAAATAGTTAACAAATCATTATGGGAAAAATGAACAAATTAAAGAAATATCTTAATTTCTAAGTTGATCTCAGAAGAGAGAGGATGCCTAAACAAAAATACAAAAAATAGAATTTGGAAAGGTTACTAAAGACCTTTTCCTTTGAAAATTCCACAATCAAATTCAAAAGTGAAGTAATCCAAAACTTCAATGAGTCATTATTTGAAAAATCCCAGACCACAGAGGCACTTATAAATCTCCCAAGTTGGTTTTAAAAAGCAAGATGTGAAACAAAACTTTTTAAAATTTAAGCTCTCTGGCGATTTTAGTAGTAGTAATAATATTAATAATAATATAACTCATTGTGGTAAGCACTATTTTAATTGTTTGTCACATATTAATTTATTTAATCCTTGTACCAACTCTGTGAGATTGATACTATTACTATCATTTCAAAGACAAGAAAATTGAAACACAAAGAGGTAATCTAATGTTCCCTTCTTTACAGAGCTAATAAATGGCAGAACAAAGATTCAAATCAAGGCAAGATGGTAACCCTACATTTTAGATTGTTTGCAATATTTTGTAATGAAATATAACTTTTTAACACATACGATTAATGAGACACCCATGTACCTGCATAAGTCCAGTGATGGTGCAGACTGACAACTCTTGAATAACAGGATGCCAGTTACTAAGTTTGTTGAGAGAAAAACAAAGCCTACTAAAGTGATTGTAGCACTGGCAACGTTCATCCCACAATTGTTTTTCATCCAGAAAGCAGTAAGAATTTTCAGTTAATATAGACAACACATACTTCCTTCCTTTGTCTACAATTCATTTAAATAAACATCAATTGAATGTTGTTTACACAATCAGCAATATCCTAGATGCTGGGCAAACATCAATGAACAAAGATTCCCTACCCTTGAGGAGTTGATACGCTTAGCAGCGGTAACAACAACAAAAAAATTAAGTATACTAATAGGTAAATTATGTCATATTTTCTAAAAGTAATTAAGTGCTGTAGGATACTAGAATGGAGTAAGGAGGATATGGAAACCAGAGAGAGGAGGGGAGGTTTGTGATACTCATTAGGAATGACAGGTGGGGAGAGGCATTAAAGAGCTGAGGGAGTCAGTCCTGAGCACATCTGGAGGGATGTCCTTGTAGTCCAGGAAACACTCCGCTCAAAGCCCCGAGGCCACAGTGTCCCAGGTGTGTTCCAGGGAAGCAAGGGGCAAGGTGGGTGGCAGGAAGTGAGCAATGGAAACAACATCAGGAAGTGAAGGTGGAGAGTGAACAGACAGCTGATCATGTTGGTTTGCCATCTCCTGAGAATGAATGCGATCGCCAGTGGAGTGAGGAAAGAAGGTGACAAAGCATTGCACTCTGGGGCACCCCAACATGAACAGGTCAGAGAAAAGAAAAGAAACTAGGAAAGGAGATTGAAAAGGAGAGACTAAAAAGACAGGAGGAAAACCATTCAATCAAGGAGTCCTGGAAGCCAAGTGAAGATGTTATTGGAAGGACTAAGTGACCAGCTGTGTGCTAGGTGCTGCTCAAGAGGCCATTTTTAGGAGGCTTGGGAACTGACCTCTCTGCTACCAATGTAATGGTAATCTTATAGGAGTGTGATAGGGGAGAACATAAAGCCTACTGGAGTGGGTTTCATTGAAACTGGGGAGATAGAAATTGCAGACAAAGTAAAGATAATTCCTTTAAGGCACAGGTTGCAAACACAAGGCCCTTGGGCTTAATTAGGCCTTCCACCTTCTTTTGTCCAGCCCAGTGCCTTGTTTCTACCCTGCTGCAACACCAAGCTCCTTGCCCCTAGTTAAGGGATGATTACATTTACACAGTCCTAAAATTATATTTGGCCCTCTGAAGGTGACTTCGAGGCTGATGTGGCCCCTGGTGAAAATGAGTTTGACACCCTGCTTTAAGGGGTTTAGCCACAAAAGGAAAAGCAAACTGTAGCTAGCAGGAAAAAATAAGGTTGAGACTTTTTTTTTTCTTCTTTTGAGAGAAGTAACTGGATGCTTGTAGGCTGATTAAGAAGGTCTAGGAGAAAGAGAATTGGAGTGATACACTTGTATGGTGGGGAAGGAACAGAAGCTAGGATTCTAGGAGGGGTACTGGCTTTGGAGAAAATCACAGAGAAGTCACTGATGGTGAAAGGTTAGAGTGAAAAAATATATCTGGTCCATGAAGGAGATGTTAGAGGGAGATCTGAAAATTCTTCTGATGCCTTGAGCATGTCAGCATAGGAAACCAGGTCATCACCAGAGAGAGTAAAGATGAGAGAAAAGGGATTGGGATTTGAGGATAGAATATAAAGGAGAAATAGCCATTCAGGAGGGAGGGAGGGTGAATGGACTAGGAAAGTAGTCTAAATGGGTAGACAATTTAGTAGGAACACATAATAGAAACTTGGTAATTGTTTAATGGATCACTAAAGATAGAATTTTTGACTTTCAGTTGTGGAACTAGTGGTGGGAGAATGTACACTCAAAATAATTAGAATTGTTCCAATTTAACAACACAAAAATCAAGAAGCTTTTTTTCTAAGTTTCAGATTCATCAAATACTCATAGTAACCATCGTATTCACAATGTATGTGATGTTCTGATGATCTACCATATGAGTGCCTTAAGAAAATTAATTTTATTGAGCATTAAAGAGACTCAGTGTCTCAGTTAGACTCATCAACTTCTTGTCTCCTATTATTTCTTAAAAACTTTTTTAAACAATTTTATTTGTTTACTTTTAGAGAGAGGGGCAGGGAGGGAGAAAGAAGAGAAACATCAATAAGTCAGTTGCCTCTCACATGCCCCCATCTGGAGGCTTGGCTGGCAATGACAGGCATGTGCCCTAACTAGGAATCGAACCCACAACCCCTTGGTTCTCAGGCCAGCACTCAATCCACTGAGCCATACCAGCCAGGGCTACTCTCCTATTATTAATCGATAGAATTTCTACTCCCATGATCATAGAAAAAGAGAAAGAACTGCCACTTACCAACACTCTTGCGGGTTTTCTCCCGGCTACAACAGATAAAGGTCCTGAACTAATAAACTGTTTGAAAAGAGAAATGAAACAAGATAAAAAATATTAGGTCACCAACATTTTTCTTGGTCTCTCCTGGTATATCTAGCAACAGTCATATAAAACTTCTTTTTGAAATTGACATCCTAGAACACAAAATTATACTTGATCATGTTCATCATTTTATATTAATACAATTTTAAATTAGTTTAAATTTTGAGTAAATTTATATTTTCATTTAGTTTTATGTCTGACTCTCTATAAGTTTCTGTGGGTGTGCCTACTTTAGAAACATAATAAATATATGTTTGATGTAATATAATTATCTTTACGCTTATATTTCTATTAAATGCAAATAGTATCTTTTTACACACACACGTACATGTAATATCCTCACATTCTGTTTTTAAAATATTTTGTTTATTTGTTTTTAGAGAAAGGGGAAGGGAAGGAGAAAGAGAGGGAGAGAAACATCAATGTGTGGTTGCCTCTCACGCGTCCCCTAGTGGGAACCTGACCCACAACCCAGGCATGTGCCCTGACTGGGAATCGAACAGGCGACCTTTTGGTTCATAGCCTGCACTCGATCCTCTGAGCTATACCAGCCAGGGCCATCCTCACATTCTTAACCAAGCTTCAGGTAAGAATTTGATTTATCAGACTAGATGTTCTAAAAGGTCTTTTGCAAATATTTAAGTGTCTATATCAATATATCCACTATTTTTAAAGATTATTTTGATATGCTTTTGTACCCATGACTCTAATTTTGATACACTGAATTCTCAAAACCTCATTCTGTTTTTTTACATGTTTCTTCTGCTTCATTCCTCACCCCTCCTGATCTCAAAGCTCAGTCCAGCCTTGTTTATTTCTTTCAGTCCTCTCAAGTGTCAAGCTCTCAAACATCTTGAACTTTTCTCAGTACTATTTCCCTCCTCCTGAAACACATTTCCCCTCAAGCTCCACCGAGGTCATTTTTTGCTCTTTTTCCAGAATGAATTGCAGCCCACATGTCTTACTTTGATGAATGTTACTCTGAATTCCCCCTCCTTCCCTTCTTATTCTGCCTTCTCCTCTGAGCCCTGATTCTCCTGGCTTCTCATCATTGTAACTCCAGTGCCTCGCTCAGTGTCTGTCATATGTTGGGCATTCAGCTAATATATGTTTAATAAATGAATGAATATTTGGTCCAGCCTGATGTTGCTGTGCCTTATGAGAAATACATTTGTAAGAATTAGAGTCTCATGCAGAGAAACTCCAGAGCAGTTCTGGAGGGAAGAAACCTATTCTAACCACATTATTTAACTTGATTTCAAAAAAAAAAAAAAAAAAACCACTATAAAACCAGGGAGACTTTTAGCCTTCAGATCAAGTAAATTATGTTCTAAAATATTAATTTAGTCTTTTTCTTAATAAAGGAAATGTAGATTTTCTAAGGACCCACCAATTAAGTCCACTTATGTAGCTTTCACTGTATGTTCTAAGTATCCTACTCATGTTACCTGACTTAGTTCTCACAACATCCATATGAAAAGGTGATACTGTTATGATCTTTTCCATTTTACAGATGAGGAAGCTGAGCTTCAGAGAAGTGAAAGTAACTTGCCCAAGGCTGCACAGCCAGCAATCTGAGGAGCTAGGAATCAGAACCTGGCTGCCACTAGAATGTCATTGCCATATTTTTAGGACTATAAGATGCACCAGACCATAAGATGCACCTAGGTTTTAGAGGAGGAAAATAGGGGAAAAATTTTGAAGCAAAAAATGTGGTAAAATATTTAATAACCTATGACCCTGCTCCACTGCTGCCCCGCAACACACACACACACAGTGAACCAGATAAGCTATATTCGGACTATAAGATGCAATCCCCTTTTCCTCCCAAATTTGGGGAGGTGCATCTTATAGTCTGAAAAATACGGTGACTGAAACTGTCCCCCTGAGTTTATGCAGAAACTCACTCCCCAAATTCCATACCTCAGGTGTGTCCAGTCCATCCCTCACTGCCAGAGCTGGCAGCCAAATTTGGGTGCGGCCACTTGGATTTACATATCTAAGGGGTATACTCTGTATGTATGTGTGCCCATGCCCACCTTTTCCCAAATAAATAGCTATATAATCACACCTAACATTTTTCAGCACAGCACCAAAGTAACCACCAAGAGAAAGCCATCTATAGACCTGGGTGTTCCAAATCTGTACATGGCAACCAAGCAGAAAATTTTGCAGACATCCTCAGTGGCCTACTGGGTGACACTTTGAACAGACACAAAAGAAAGGAGAGAGGGACTCTACAGGGTTTATCTTGGAGGCTCCAGGCCTTGACAGACTTCTTTCCTCTCAAGCTTATCTTGCCGTGAGTAGGAGACACTCAGTAACGATCACCACAGCATCTTTACCAGAAAATGACAGCCTCTTCTAACTCCTGCTGAACAGATCTCTACCTTATGCAATACTTTAGAGGAGGCAATGAACATGTTTTGCTGGGGTACCAAAGAGGGTGCTAACCAGTCAGATGTCACTGTGCGGTCTGCAGGCATAGTGTTGGGTAGGAAGCTGGCATCAGGAATAACTGTCTCTGACTTTGAGATGTTGTTTAACACATTGTTGGAACAAGAAATATAAGCAGACAATGTGGGTAGAGGGATAGGAAGGAAGAGGCCGTGGGATGAAGGAAGAACAGTTAGCCAGAGCCATTGTAAATGGAATACTGCAGACAAAAGGGACAAGAAAGTATCTTAAAAGCAGGAGAGAAAGAAATATGAGGAAGTGTGTCACAGGCATACGTTCATGATACAATCTTTCCATTGTCTCAAAGGGTTCCTCAGGGAAGGACTTGGGGGACTATAGCAAAAGGGGGTGATGGACTCTCACCCCTCGGCTTTGACATAGCCTGAGTCCTCATTCTGTCTGCAAGAAGCCTCCTAATCTCTTGGCTGTCTTACTTCCCCTGCCTGATTTAAGCCTGAAACAATGCCGGAGGTGGGTGCAGCCCTGTTCTGGAAAGGGCAGGTTCCCTGGGAAAATCAGGCCTAAGAAAGAATGCATAAAATCCTGTGAAACCTACTTTGCTAATACCCTCAATTTAAATGATAAGGGTCCAAGCATGAAATGAGTTTGTTCCCCAAAGTTTCATGGCCCTCTGACCCTGACTCAAAATAAACCCTCAGAGTTCTTTGAAGGTTGTTTATTGTTTGATCATTACTGCCTGACAATGATTGATCAGCTTTACCTGTACACCCTGTATTCTTATGCAAATTTAACCCTGTAAAAGCCCATTGATGAACAGGCTCCTGGCCCTTCTCCTTTGAGAGATCAGCCACCTTTCCTCCCCAAGCAGATGTGTCTTGGTAGGCTTATTCTCATTCATGGTGGCTGGGCTGAGGCAAAGGGGGACTCTGTGGGCAGATCCCCGCCACAAATGAGCCCTGGCTGATGTAGCTTAGTAGATTGAGCATGGGTCTGTGAACCAAAGGATCGCTGGTTTGAGTCCCAGTCAGGACACATGCCTGGGTTGTGGCCAGGCTCCAGGTAGCGGGTGCACTAGAGGCAACCACACATTGAGGTATTTCTCCCTTTCTTTCTCTCTCCCTTCCTCCTTCTCTAAAAATTAATAAAATCTTTAAAAAAAAAATTGATGAGCCCTGGCTGATGTAGCTCAGTGGATTGAGCATGGGCTTGCAAACCAAAGGGTTGCTGGTTCAATTCCCAGTCAGGGCACATGCCTGGGCTGTGGGCCAGGTCCCCAGTTGGGGGCATGCGAAAGACAACCACACAATGATGTTTCGCTCCCTCTCTTTCTCCCTCCCTTCCCCTCTCAAAATAAATAAAATAAAATCTTTTTTAAAAAGCTTAATGAAAAATATCTTAGCAAAATTTGTTTCACAAAGGATCTAGCACCCAAAATGTACATATCAGTAAGCAATTGAATATAAGAAATATCCCCAAAGTCAGAAGTGAATTTTTGGGGGGTGTATTATTGGGCAGACTTCCTCTTTAGTGAAAAGAAGATAGAACAAATAGCTGGTGATAGGTGATTGTATAATGAATTGCTCTTATGTGTCAGGATGATGCAATGCTTGACTATCTCACCCTGTCAATTATTTCAAGTACAGAAGAGTCATATCAGGAAGAAAGGACAATCTGGCATCAAATTTCAGTGAAGGGGGTAGTTCTTAAATTTGAGCACATAGATTTCATTTCTTCTGCAATAATTACTTAAATAGGATGGACATTATTGTTAAGACTCAGCTTTACTGATTAATTAGGAAAACACACCCAAGTTAAAGCATTCTCACATAAAAAGGCTTTATGTCTCCTGGAAATTTGTATGTTTAATTTTAACTTCTGCACAAATTTTAGTCTCTGGCACATTTACACAGGTGTCTCTACTTTTTATTCTTACTAAAAAAATACTCATAATAATGTTTAGAAGTATATATCAAATAGATCAAACTATTGTCATTGAGGACATATGGCTGAATTAATATATAGAACAGAAAACAGAATTTAAATGGGTAATATCAAGTACCAAATAGTTAACATAAAATTAATAAGGCATACCCCTAATAAATAATACTGTTTAAAAATACACCTTTACTGAATCAGGATCATCACCGAATTAAGGTTTTTTTAAGGATCAAGACACCTAAGGAAAGATTTATAGCAATTATTTTTTGTACCAAAAAAAAAACCCCAATGTTTTCCAACAGAATTCATGACATCAATTTCAAGTTTTCGTTTTTCCTTAAGGAGGGAGTCAGTTTAATCGCAACATAGTAATCCTAACTCTTCTGGCGTTGCCTTGAAGTCAGCAATAAAGGGACTGGGATCCAATTTTATTTCATCTGTCGAAACTGGTGTAAGCCACACTGATTTCCTAAAGAAAGGAAAAACAGAAAGCAGCTAGTGTTCATGTGCTTGGCACCAGGTCTTTCTGAAGCTAACCATGGAGCCAAGGTATTTTTATTTTCCCCACTTTTTAACACCATGGTCACGGTCAGTTCGGTGTTCTGGCAGTGCAGAACAGGACCTGCACCTCCTGGAGGAAGGTGACATAATGCCTGCGTTTGCAGAACGCCCAAGTGTCCAGACTTAGACAAATAGGTCCTAAGAATGGCAAGTAAAAACTGTCAAAAGCTTCATCTGACCCATTGCCATGTGTGGGTAGCGCTGTTCTGTCCCCAGCCTTTGTTCTGCCCTATTAACGTGAGTTAAAGGGAAGATCAGAGGCTTTCAACAATGTGAATGCGCTTAATGCCACTAAATTATAAACTTAAGACAAAATTTACCACTTTAGCCATTTTGTGTGTATTTTACCATAATAAAAAAACAATTCTCTCCTCCTCCCCTCAATAGTACTCTGATCATGCTAAAAGATTTTGCACATTAGCTCTGAGCTTCAAATTCTTGCTTTGGTATCAACTATTTTCATATATTAAACAAGGATAGAATTCTCCTGTTTTCAGGTGGTTTCCAGATTTGTCATTCAAATTTATAACACTCAGTGCACATATTTCACTGAGATGGTCAAAGTCTACCAGGATACCATTCCACTGGTCTCAAAGTTCAATGTGGGTCCATTTAGGGGTCAATGTCTCAGTTTCACAAAACTTCAAGCAAAGTACATTTAATTATTAGGCTGATCAGCTCTTCCTTTCATGTATCTCTGTGACTTAGTGTTAAAATGAAAAATTGCTTTTCTCTTAAATTTTTAGCTATTTACTCTCCTAACATGGAAATGTATCAGAAGATAGTATTATGGAGAAAGCCTTGAAAGGTAATATCTTGCTTGATTCTTTTACTTACTAAAGTGACTCTACATATTTAATGACTGTGCTTCGTAGTTCAGTTACTATAAAATAACCTAGTCCCTCTGGATTCCATGTTTTTATTCTAAAATGGTTATTATATTACAAAAAAATAAGAGTATTCATTAAAATATTTTTGTAAGCACTAATTTAGTGTTTGTTTGGAGATAGGCTTATGGGTAAATCAGATAGTCTCCAAAATATATACCTCTGCAGAACTGTCTGATAAGGTGAAGTGAAGGCATTGAAAAGGGGTCTGAGCTATCGGACTCACCTAGAGATACAACACTGCAGAGGAATTATTTGGCAAGGGCAATGTAGATCCCTTGGCTTATAGTACAGCTCACTTTGCAAGAGGAGACTATCCTCTGAAAGAACCTAGGAGAGCACAAAGGTTTAAGTAGAAGGTATTTCTTGTAGGAAAGGAGGCTTATACACATATGAACAGGAAGTAGAAATCATTCAACCTCACAGAAATGGCTGTTTCCACTTTTAGGAAACTACAAAGATCTAACAACCCACTGGGACAGAAAAGATTGTTATCTGGAAGAGTGGATTTAAAGTGTGGGGTGGGGGGAATCTGAATAGTATCTCAAAGTGACTTAAACTGCCACTTAGAGCCACCTTTGTGATCTATTATTGAAAAGGTTTTCAACAGTTCTTTTGAGAAAGATAATTTGGAGGTCAAATAATAGAGTGGTTCAAAGCATAAGCTTTGGAGGATAACCATCCTGGTTTGACCTCTAAACTATCACCAACCAGCCATGCATCCTCAGGCCAATTATTAAAGCACCTTCTGAAGCTCCAGTTCCCGTCTTTCCAAAGCAGAGACAAAACCTTATTCACAGATGACTGTCATCATTAGTAATTGGCATGAAATATTTTTGTAGTATGATTATACAGTATTTAAATTTGGAAATCTATTTTGAAAGATAACATGTCAAGATAACAATGCAGTTGATTTGTGCCAGCAAAATAGTTGACAGATTTTATTCCAGTCAAAATCTACTCCCCATATTGACACATGTCCTCATAGAACATGGGCAGGTTCAAATGACATAAGGTTGAATATGATAAACCGGCCCAGGACTGGGGACCTTCCACATTAGGAGCTTTCAATGAAATTTAAAATTGTCTGCTAAGCTATAATGAAATACAATAGTAGCCTGAAGATAACTTAAGGTCAGTTCCCTTCCAGTCCAGTCTGTGTTACGAGGTCCTATGAACATTGATGGCCCATATTCATTGAATGGTAAGTAGGAACTATGCTGTTATTTATTCATACATCATTATAAGCAGGAGCAAAATTTGTTCTGAAAAAACAATTTTAGCCCTGGCTGCCGTGGCTCTGTGGATTGAGTGGCAGCCTGTGAACCAAAGAGTTGTCAGTTCAATTCCCAGTTGGGGCACATGCCTGGGTTGTAGGCCAGGCCTCAGGTAGGGGGTGCTAGAGAGGCTACCACACATTGGTGTCTCTCCCCCTCTCTTTCTCCCTCCCTTCCCCTCTCTCTAAAAATAAGTAAATACAACCTAAAAAAAACACAATTTTTGCATCAGGCATGAAGGTCTTTTTCAGTATTTATAAATTGTTTTTACAAATAATCACTAGTCTCACCTGTGTCCTAATACCACAATCAGAAGTGAGATATGCAAAATGATATTCATATGTTTCTATCCGAGTCGCAGGACAGCCCGACCCCAGGTGTAATTCCTCAGCCAGTATATACTCA